GGGCCTTTGGTTCCAAGTTTGAACACTTCTTTGTTAGTCCTGACCTTGTTCAATACGTGTTCTTCCAATAAGTCATTGTTGCCGCAGGCCTCACTGGCTTTCGAGAAAGTCAGGGTCTTCGAGGTCCGCTTAGCAGTCCATGAACTTTGTTGCCAGTTGTCCTTCACGGTTTGACCTCCGCTGTACAAAAAACACATTACTGAATTCAAGTGTCCCCACCCTAACAAGCGAGTCAGCCCGAAGAAGGCAGGACATATGTAATATGTACTGACAGACTACCCTTACAAGTGCTGCCTGACATGCGCATTGACACAATGGTCCGACATTTGTTCTGGCATAAACTCTGGTATGTCTTCTGACACATCTGGGCCTGCCGTCAAGTCTGACATGCATTCTGACATATCTTCTAGCATGTACTCCCGACATACGTTCTGATATGTGCTCTCGCCTCAAACCTGCCATTAATCTGTCATGTGCCCTGGCATATACTCCGTATGTGTTCTGACATCTGTTCTATTATGTCTTCTGATACTTGTTCTGGCAGCATGTCTGACAAATGTTCCCACATTCATTCTGACACATGTTCCCGCATGTATTCTGACATATGTGACATCTATTCTGGCATCAAGTCTAGCATGTGTCTTGGCCAAAGCCCAGGCCACATCACAGTGAAGCCAGAACGGCCAAGCGTACAGAGCGCAACACACCGAAGCCCAAGGCGGCGGAGAAGAAGGCGGAGGAGGACGGCGGAGGCGAAGACCGGAATCCTCATCTAAAATCTAGAGACCCCCACCTGCCTGAAAGGTGGAGAATAAGCCAGTGCCCCAGAATCTGAAGCTCAACAGCCAAGAATAGCCAAGACAGTTGGTTGTTTATGGTTGTTTGTGATGAACCATTGATTGAATGGACAGGAATTGTCCTCTAAGAGGTAAAATAAATAGCAATATTGGAATATTATGGAACCAGTGTGCAAACACCCTTCTCTCTCAGGTCCAAGTTCGATGTGATCGAGCACAAACCCGGCGAAGGCCATTGCGAAGCCAGCCTCTGGTGCCAGGCGAAGCTCCTCCAGATAGGCACATTCCAAACATGGAAAGAACTTGTGAAGTCAGTCGAGAAGTACAGTGTAGTACACGACACGCGTGTGGAAAGGGGGCCGGAATGTCGTGTGCTTTCTTGCCAAGATAGTAGTGCTGAACATATCGTACAGTGACAGTGCTGAAGATTTGAAGAAAGGGAATGGTCAAAGTCCAAAGTCCACAGCAGTGTGCTGGGATTGCAAGAGGTATTCCAGCATGAGCAAATTGCACATGCACCTCTAATCACGTCGCTCTATTCTTGCGACACGATGAACAATTCAACTATGAAAGCAATGTCTCAAAAGCGCCTCGGTTTGAGGCAATAGCCATGGCGAAAGGCCGCTTAGCCTCAACAAAAATAGAGTAAACATGCCTAAACCACTACTGGGCTGGTTCTTTCCAACAAACTCTGACATTTCACCAAAGTGTTCAATGCATTTGAGGCTCTGTCCTGTTCACCCCAAAGTCAATTTGATCATGGTGAGCTACAAATCAAGAATGGGATAGGAATGGGATAGAATGGGAGATTCAATTTGGAGCTTAAGCGAATCCTTTGCCTAAAACAACCAACGCCAAGCGCAGTTTCTCCGACACCAGGTCTTTCTTCGCCATCGGCTCCGACCAATCTGTGCTCCTTTCAATCTTTCAGGGCTCCGACCGTGGAACGCCTGCGTCAGCAAATTGATATGATATATGCGACAGAATAGATATATGATATCTGCGTCAAGCCGCAGCTTCGAGATAAAAGTTAAAGTTCCAAGAATGCATGTGATTGCTGCAATCACATGGATTTGTCTAATTATGGTGCTGTTGAAGTTGCTATTGTTGTCACAGTAGGCAAGTTACGGATGATGTGGAATAGTCTGTTGTTGTGTCCCCTTCAAGTGTATACCTTCTCCCAAGTAATACCGTATTGTCCATCCGCATTGTCTCAACCGCTTCGAGGACGATTACGGTTACAATCTGCAAAAACTGCTGAAAGTGCTGTAGTATCAATTGAATTTTGGTATCACTCTTGCGCAGTGACTCTGAACCATGCCGAATGAGCTGAGCTGGAATGCCCCAATCGAGGGTTGGGATGTCATCGGTCCTTGGGTCTGCCCTTACTTTGTCGACCTCGGCGGCCCTTGAGCCATATGTGTATCCATTTTATGCTAGACTCCTATGGGCATCTATGACAAATCCAAAAAAATCCGCCGACCCCACACCCTAAAGTGAGGCGTGACTGTCGATGTTAGCCTTAGCCTTAGGCCTTAGCCTTAGCCTTAGACCTTAGACCTAGTCCTTAGCCTTAGACCTAGACCTTACCTCCCCTACCCCTCCGGACCCTTGTTGCAGTTACGAAAATCGCGCCCTGAAAGCTACCTGAGCGACCCGGGAATTGTCCAAGAATCTGCCATCCCAATTGATTTACATCTTGGGACCCTCTCGACCCGCGCGGGAAAATAAGCACGGTCCAAAATGGTCCTGGGCTCGAATCCCGGGCTGGTCGCGGCATGGTCCCGGCCAATGCCCTTGCTTTTTCGTAGATTTTGTCACGTTTTCTGTTGGTTTATGAGATTTTCAAAGGCTTTTCTGGCATTTTCCTAGGAATGCTCTAGGCTTTGTCTTTTTGGGTACCTGCTTTGGTGGTGCTGGGTTGGGTCTAAATTGGTAAACCTGGGAGGTACCCAAAAAGTCGACTTTTTGGGTACCTGCTTTGGTGGTGAAGGGTTGGGTCTAAATTCTTGGGCAATGATCGGGGTTCATGCAAGAGCTGACGTCCGATGGTAAATCTGGGAGGTACCCAAAAAGTCGACTTTTTGGGTACCTGCTTTGGTGGTGCTGGGTTGGGTCTGCACTCTTAAGGCTAAGGCTAAGGCTTAAGGCTAAGGCTAACATAGAGCAAGGCTAGCGCTAAGGTTCTATCCCTTGGGGGTCGGCGGCTGCAGGCGGTAGCCTGGTAAATATTGAACTTGAGTTGTTTTCTATGCAAAGCTGAAACTGCATATGATGAATAGTGCCATGCCGTCTAGAATTAGACTAAGCGAAAATGAGCAAACGTACCTCACCCTCAATAGCTACTTTATGCGTGCTGGGCCCAGGCTTGAATCACAGCACGGGAACGAACGAGACTCTTCTAAAACCACGTTGGAAAAGAGCCAGGTTGTCAGGGAAAGTAAGTGAGTTTCCCATATTTTTAGCGGACCATGCCATTCCTGCGATGCATTTGTGCAGAAAGAATCAGATGAGCCTCCATCAGCTCTTGGGACCTGAACTGCAGCGACTGGAGCCTCAGAGTTCGGGTGATCCTCACCGTTTACTGCGACGCTTAAGCCACGTACACCCCAAAAATGAGTCTACTCCTCCACTACGAGGTGGAGAGTAAATCTGGGCCACATGTCAGCCTCATACGGGCTGCTGAATGGGGGACCCGATCTATAGTGCAAGACCGTTGAACAGCCCAACACTGGAGCTGCAGGTCTTTATGAAGGGTACACGAAAGCACGGCCTCTGAGCACGAGGCCATGGTGCGTCCAATCCAACCAGGCAACTCGGGAGCCTTGGATGAACGAGACGTCACAAGGCTCCCGATAAAACGTCACAAGTTCGTGGCTTCTTTATGATCTCTGAACCAAGTGAGTTTCATGATCTTGTGATTTTGAGCGGTGCAGTGATAAATACTGAGTATAGGATGTTGCTCTTGATGGCCTGAATCAAGAACCCTACTGTACTTTTGTTCCTCCAGGAAAGAGGGCAAAAGATGGCCCAGAGAACTAGGCCCTGAAAAAGTTGTGAGCCCTGCCCTGCACCATTGGCTCCTTTTTCAGATCAATCAGATCCAATGAGTCTTTCCGGATGTAAATACAGGGTCGGCATGCGCCAGCACTGTAAGCGGAAAGGTGTAAGGAACGCGAGGAACCTCTTCTAGGCAGCCCACAGAAGAAATGTCCAATCAAAACGGTTCAGAAAAGTTGATGCATTTAACCAAGACAGCTCTCTCAAATGTCAAAGGACGCCTTTGCAGAAGTTCCAAGAAGTTTCAAAATGAGTGCATATCTGACTCTGTGCTTGCCACCCGCAAGCGCAGCAAGCAACGCTTGCTACTGTGCTCTAGTTAAGCCACTGGTACTCCTTGGGAGAAGGCATCGATGGAATCGGACTATCTTCCGGCAGGTGCTGCACTCCGACGGGAGAAGGAATTGATGGAATGGGACTGTCTGGTGGCACCTCAAATGCCTGCTCACCAGCAATCCACTCTCTTGGACAGGTGCGCATCCAATCAATGGCATGAAGAACGGACCGCACCGCCTCGTTAAAGTTTAGGAGATCTCCGAAAGCCATTTGGATGATATCCAACATCTTCTCCTACCAAAATGGCAGGTTGAATCAAACTGACATGCTCTTTCCAAACATAGTAGTTTCACGTCTCCTGCCAAAAATGTTGGGCGACAACCCTCCAACTGATGTTGCCAACAAATATTAGAGGATCATTGAAACTTGAAAACAGTTGAAAACCAATGTCTGGTCCTTGTCCGCCGAGTTGAAACATTCCTCAGAAAAAGCAAGAGTGGGGTGGTTTTGACAACGGGATCAATCGAAGCGATGATCACAGTGCGTCAATGAATCGCGCACTCCTTCGGCATAAAAGAGATATTATAAAGCACAAATGATCAGCCAAATGCGCCCCTTGTATGGCCTTCGAACGAACTTATTCCATTGTGATATCACACGTCAAACTTAACACCATAAACAACTTTATAGATCAGAAGGTAAAGAGTTGCACTACTGGTTTTTGCAAATCTTCAGGCAGGCATCGCAATTGACCACATCAAAGTCCAAGAAGGACTGTCGCATTGCAGAACGATCCTCCAATTCGTGGCCTTTCAAACTGTGATGACTTTAAACACGCACATGCGGACGAGAACAATGCAATCAAATGCAGAAAGCCTTGGGATGTATCGTGAACTGTGTTGAGTAGCCTTCAGATTGGCAGCAAGTGGTGACTTGAATGACCCTGTGAGGTCAAATATTCCAACGGCTGCACCCATGAGTTTGTGCCCAGTACCGACCCGTGTTACGTAACTATCTGCCTCACTTGTTGGTGGAATTGTTATATATGTCCTTTTTGCAAATTGAGGTTAAAATGACAGCATCTGCTCTCGTTCTACGACAGCATCTGCTCTCTTTCTACGTATGTTATTAGCCTTCAATGGTCCCCCTTTTCCAGCCGGAGCCTCGACGCAAGACTGGGATAACATTGATCTCAGACACGTTGCCACCGATATGTACCTTATCAAATCAGTCTCGTGCTGCCAAAAACATCGTAGATCTGCCAAGAAAGGTTCTGGGTCCTCAGTTGAAACGTTCTACTTGATAGCAGAAACTGATGATTTAGCTGCCAAGGTACAAAAGTAAAAAGCTCCATCACACACCATAGTCGAGATAGGTAAGTGGGGCCACCTCAGCTGCACCAAGTTCAGTTCAAAAAGAAAAAGACAGGACCTGTCTGCAGTAGCAAGGTGCTTAGCGGCTACGTCCATGACCTAGCCTTTAACCTGGCTTGACTCAAAACATCTGGAACCATACGTTCAGCCTCACTACGCAGTACTGCTTTGGCAAAGGTGCAAAAGACTACCAGCTCAGCGCAGCCGGAAAGAAAAATCGGCAAACCTGGGTGTAAAGCGGAAGTGTCCCAACTCAGAAAAGCGTCTACAACTGCATGATCAGAGACAGAAAGAAATCAAGTGCTTCTCCAAAGAACATTTAAAAAATAGACTAATTCTGCCAAAGCTGATCTAATTAGATCTAATTAGTATGATCTAGTCTAGTCTCTCTGTGTGTCTCTCTCTCTCTCTCGCTCTGTGTCTCTCTCTGCCTGCCTGCCTCCCTGCCTGGCTGACTATCTGTCGGTCGGTCTGTCCGTCCGTCTGTCCGTCTGTCCGTCCGTCTGTCATTGTTTACTTCTTCCTTCCTTCCTTCCTTCCCTCGCTCCCTCAATCCCTCCCTACCTCGCTCGCTCCCTCACTCACTCTCTCACTCACACACACTCGCACACACACTCTCCCTCTCACTCTTGCTCACTGTGGTGCACAGCACAGACTCTCTGCCGCCAAATGGCAGCGGAGGTCCGCCTCAATATCGTTCTGGTCCTGAGTTTGCGCTTGCAACATGTGCAAGCAAACAGTCTCACCCAACATGGGGCGGCACGCAAAATGCGAAAAGTTGCGCTACGCTAGTTTCGGAACGGAATCAAGGAATGCAAAGACTTAAATGGTTTGCCAAATAGCACCTCTCGAGTCAACGCAGACTGGTATGGGTTAAGGCTATTTCTATATAGTAGTATTTGGTATGCATGAAGGACTGAGTTGGATGAAATGTTCTCTCCAACAAATCCTGAGTTCAACACGATGCAGCACTTGTCGAGCCAAATATGAGGCCCTCTCCTCCTCGTAGGCATCCGATTTCCCACCATGGTATTGGATGCGAGTCATTTTCTGATGTGGGAGGTTGCAGCTTGACGCTTGGAACTAAAGTCATGCTCGATCGTGCACATACACCTTTTTTATAGAATTATGTAATATTACAGTACATACACAATGCTCCAGAGCCAGTATGTCAGTATGGCACAGTGCACTCCTATCACGCTCAAATTTAGATCGCCACCAATTCATGGCCACCTCAGGTTTCTCGCACTACGACAAGCAAAATCAACCTAAACAATGTCCCAAACAGTAGAAACGTTCAAGTGCGGTGTGTTGAGATATTCAAACCAGGTCTGCATTGAAGAGTTGACATGCACTGCACACCTGTTCCACCCCGAAGAATAATACATGTTCATACATATTATCTGTTGTCCGTAGTTCGATTCATTTTGCTTTGGCATGTCGAACCATTTTTCATATTTTTCTACCAAAGAATGCATGCTCCGTGTGGTCTGAGCAGGTTTCTATCGGGCTCCACAAAGCTGAAGAAGGTAATCGGGTAGGTAGGAATGTGGAGCCTGCTTGAGAACAAAAACATATCCTTCTTGCCCGGAGCCTGCTCCTATCACCCAAGCTTTCGCCAAGTTGGGCGGGCACGATTTGATATCGATAGTTTCATGCAACCCCAAGGTCACATGCAACTTCATTTCATGCTACTTCCTTCCTCCTCTCCTCTTGCTCCTCTTGCTCCCCTTGCTCTCTCTCTCTCTCTCTGCAGTTTCTTCTCTCCTCGTCTCCTTGCGATTCAGCGCCAAATCGTGTCAGTCCAACTACTGTGAAGTGCAGGTGCAGTCGATGCATCATCGGAAGCCAACTCACGTCACTTCGTGCCACTCTTAAATGGCGTTCAATTGAAGCGTAGAGTAGCGAAATTGGAAATTCCCCTCCTGCGACCTCTCCGAGCTCCCTGGTGATGTCTTCATTGATCAGTCGAATTGGCAGTCGGATGGGGTTGTTCATTATAGATGGACAAAGCGGTATATCTCAAAGTATATATAGATGCATGTCCTTCCTCCGCTATGAATCAGCCTGCAGCGAGAGTCTCCAGTCTGCTCTCCATGTCGACCCTCTTTCATTGCTTCAATGATCTTTAATGGAAGCTTAAGCTAAGCTTTTCACACTTTGCTTTCACCAAGACACCCATTTGGCTGGAGCATCATCGTGCCAGGAATGTGACACGAAGGCATCACCTGGGTGACTCAAGTTTCACTCCCGTGGTTGGAAGCGACTCCGTTGGACTCTGAAAGGAACAAAACCAATCAACACGTTTAGATGCCTCTAACATCAAAACAAAAACATAAAATGTCAACAATGATGAAATCTAGCCCAAATCTAGCCACGCTGGTGACCAGCACTGGAATTGGCTCCGTCCATTCACGTTTGAAGCGAAGAGAGGACCAAAAGGACCACACATTAGGAACAAGAAGCTACTAGGAACAAGTGCATCGCTTCTAGTAACAAGTGCCTTACTAGTAGTAACAAGAAGCTATTAGGAACAAGAATTAGAATAGAATCAAAATACAAGCCATCGTCGGATCGAAGACCAAAGGTCGTTCCTTCGGCAGGGCGCAGCAGCCAAGCTTCACCGCTTGAGAAAGGGCAAACACGGCCGGACCTCAGAGCAAATCTCGGAGACCCAACATCGGGATTTCTAAGAAGTGGAGTGCCAAACACAACAGGCTTGTGTACAATAAGCCTAACGAGTGTCGCAGCGCTTCTATCTAAAGTTCAGGGTGACACCCTCAACCTACAGTTTCTCTGCTGATCGCAACCCATCGACCGCGGTCATTTGAGGCAGCCCAAGAACAAAAACCAAGCAGCACCTCGTAACCCAAAGGGACAATCACTTAAAACCGGATCTCGCACAAAATGTGGAGAACAAGCATCATTTGGGGTGTGGGGACCCTCAATTTGTAGTGAACAAACCCAACAACAATGACGGTGGAAAGCCCGGGTGAAAGCTTTCTCGGACATAAAGTCATACGCTGGATCGACAAAACACCAAGGAACACTCAAGGTTTGAGAGTTCCAACACACGAACTAAGGAATTGAAGTCTTGGATTAAATCCCCAGTAATTACCAGGAGATTGTCTAGATGTACTGCTAAATGAAAGACCCAGGACCCATGACATAAAAAGTGGGGTGTGCATTGTTTTGGGTCTCGCGCAAAGGCTTCGGACAGCGGCAAGCAGCTAGGTCTGTTGGTTGCGAGTTCATTCTCGTCGAGCCTTGGCAACGGTGGCAATGACCACATTGCTCTGTTCAGCAAAGCAAGGAACTGAATAAGCAAACAATGTGGCACAGCAGAAGGAGGCAAATGATTAAACTCAGTTTTGGCAGCTGTGCGCCTGTGCGGTCTCAAACTGTCGCCACTTACTGGGAACCCATGCAATGAGAAGTCCACGGAGCGGAATCGTTTTTTCGCTTGGCCCATCACCTGCGGCTGTGGAGTTCATCGCAACCCCTACAAGACAAACACCAAAATGAAACCTCTTCCGCGTGTATGTTCATTCATTCATATTTGAGAAGGTACGATGTTTACATCTCCTATCATTCCTTATTTGCCTGGAACGTCGAACGGGCATGGCTGAGGGTGGCTGATCTAGTCTGGTTACCACAAATAGGAATCCCCACAGTCCTGCCACAGTCTACAGATCGCTGGCCGACCCAATTGGTTACTAGTAGCTATGCCCTTGTTACTAGTAGCGATGCATTTGTTACTAGTAGCTTCTAGCTGCTCTTTAATCCTCAACCTTGCTCACAGTGATTGTTTGGACTGTCCATGCATCCGAAAATAGCCACAGGTCATTGGCATCGACTCTCGCTGAAGGCGAATCTGATGCCGTGAATGTTGTGGAAAAAAAACAATCAGAACTTGTTTCTGGGATCATGTCTTCCACCTTGAACCTTTAGATTCCTTCCATGTCCTTCTTCCATTGCCAGACCTCGTGTATAGAGCAATTGCCAACTAGCCCAGCGATGCCAGCCGCGGCCGCACGGTTGTTTCGGTAGCGTGCCATGCCGGAGATCATCATCTGGCGACAAAAAGGACATCCATCACGAGTCGCACGGCCCTAGTATGGACATACCCTCAGCAGAAAGCAGAAAGGAACTACCAACAGTCCAGTTGATAAATTCTGCTGATCGACTCCAATAAGTATCATAAGTGAACTCAATATGAAAACGCATCTGACAACTACTTGTGTAAACATGTGCCTTGCATTCGTAACTTGGAGGGTCACATTTCCTATGGACTGAATCCTTTTGAGCTCGCTTACTGCAAATGCTTTGCTGCATCGTCAAAATGACAGAACACAACGTCGACAGCTTGTGTGCTTGTCAAAAAGACTTCTATCATGAGTGGAACCGAAAGCATTTCTTCCCTGATCACGAGCAGGTGGAAACTCAGTGACCACCCCCAATGGATTTTGGACGATTTTTTTTCTCAAGACTTTCCAGTTGAACCACAACAAAAAAATCCTAGATCGACCCACATCGACCCTGACCGACCCGGAACTCCACCTGAACTCGGCTTCGTAAGGTCTTCATCCGACTCACCGCCAAAGCTGGGAGCATCCCAACCAAACGCAGGGACATTGGATCCAGCACGTGCATCAAAATGGCCACCTAAAAAGAGGACACAACACAAGCGCTTCCAGAACCAACGGGTCCCCGGCCCAGGAAGAAAAAAGAAGCATGTATGAGCATGTATTATATAACCATTTCTCATAGTGTTCAGACTCAAGTTGCGAATCGTTGAGACAACTGGCACAACAGAGCCACATGTTCAACTAGAAATACACCAGCGGCAGCAAAACAACAAAGCTCTACACCTGAAAGAGCATGCGTGAGCACGCAAAAGCATTGAGGTGCTCTGCTACAGCGGACATATATTGGTTGGAAAACGACTCAAAAAGAATCAAAAAATGTGCGCTGTATGATCCTTTCTCTGATTTTAAAGTATTATATATGTTAAACAGCTCAATGTTATTCATGTCATATTGTCCTGTGCAGTATAGGTGCTTCCACGAATGATCTGCTTGGGAGCCCCCATCACTCGCAACATGTTGTTGCTGAAAGTCCGCTAAATACTTCCAAGCAACAGTCACAGAGTAGATCACAATGGCACCAGTCTCCTCAGCTGTCGAACACATGGGTCACATGGGTGTATTGAAATAGTGGGACCTCTCACAGACCTCCTGGAAGAGCAAGCGTAGACGGTAGACGGCTAATGACCAAACCGCATCGGTTGGGGGTCTTCCTAGTCATCCCTAGTCTAACATACATCCACATGCTTCAAGTACCTACTTCCGTCTTGACTGGACCTGCATTTTGAAAGCAGTAGCCACTATGTCCTCCGGCCTCAAACCGTCCAGCAAATACGGCCAGCAAAAAGAGACCAATGGAGCTTTTGAGATTGCTTTCGTCAGAGGTGTCCTTTGTAGTTGACTCTCACCAAATACCTTTGTGCTTTCTCAAAGTTTGCCAGGGAGCAATGTCAAATGGTGTGGGAGGGCGCTGAAATCCCGTCATCATCTGTCATCATGCCGACAAGGCTCCACCATGATGAAAACTGTGGCTATACCCCACATAGCCCTTGCTGGTACACAGATTGGCCAGGGGGAGTTCAAACAAGGACTTTCAAAAAAGCCATAAATTATGTATAAGCTGCTATAAAATGTTGCAGTATAAGCTTTCTCATGGCAGCACCTCTGCATATGGGCAGTATCATCCCAGAAGACCACAATGAAGTTGGAGATCACCAGTAGGGCCAAAGAGCACGTCCGCCTTCAGCGTGCAAGGACACATTGCCAACTCTGGCATCTTTGGGGTGCCCACATCTACTGTACATCACGTTGGCTCATTGTAGAAAATTGTGGCAGGAGCAACTGAAAAAGGAAAAGCAGCACACTTAAAAGTGGAAGTTGTCCGTTCAGCATTCCATCGATCAAGCATTTAAAGGAATCTACATACAGGATGCGACAAGAGGCATTACAAGCTGAACCAACTTCATGTCACACACCATGTTTGGTGCGTCAATGCCATACCTCGGCTGAAGGCAACTCGGTACAAGTACCACTTACTGCCCAGCTGAGTAGAGGAAAAGTACATGATGATGTTGTCCGAGCTAAGCCCATCTGATTATATCTGATTTTATCCGTGGTTCTCCGGACTCTGGACTATATCCAGTGAACTTCTGCGGCAAAGCTTACATTCCTGTGACAGTGATTTTCTGAAACTGTCTAGTTGTGACTTCACAGAAACATCTACTGATCCAATAATTTATGTGCCTGTGCTTGTCACTTCATATGGCTTTAAAAGCTGCTCACTGAAACGGAATACTGTTTGCTCTACTTGGCTGCGCCAAGGATTCCCTGCTGGTTCCTGGCAATGGCATACCACAGCAAATTTTTCAGCGGTAACTTTGCCACCGAGGTTGCATAAGGCAAAGTCCTGATGAGGTTGGAGTGATTGGGAACATGTTCACCATCATGGACAACTTGAGCCATCTTGGCACAGTTCTAGCTTCGCTCAAAAGGGGAAGCCACATCATCCTTTGACCCTAGTAGGCCCTGGTCACATCTAAAGTGACGGTTGTTTTTCATAGAAACCAATTCCAAACAATATAGCACCAAGTACGAGTGTCCATTGGACTGTTCTTTTTGCGATCGGACTGTTTGTCCATGATTGTCCATGTTTGTCCACTTTCCCTCCTTCTGAAGTGTTTTGCTTCTCCACGGTATCCAGGTAGGTCGCCAGGGTCGGGCCAACCAAGAAAATCACCTCGCCAAGGCGAGACTCCACTCGTGTTTCCCCGCCAGGCAACGACGCCCGTTCGCCACACGGTCGGTCGACGACTCGGTGGTTTCGCCCAGCAACGGCCAAGAGTCCAACCAAGGACAGCTGCAAGAGCGCCTGAAGATTGGTGAAACCGGAAGTTCGAAAGTCGAATGTCATTGACACTGAAAGGTCACATGTCGTTCAAAATCTAAACATCAAGGCCAAGCTTCCCATCGCGTCAATCGTGGGTCGTCCGCCATGGGTGCTAAGCAGCAGCAAATGATTTGGAAGAAATACATGAGGGCACCAAATATTGCCTGTGAGCATAGCTGACGCGTTCACACTCAAACAGGTCGAATCCTTTGTGTCCGGGGCTGTTTCGACGAGCAAAGGTCTTCAAGAAATGTACAGTATGTTTATTGCATTTGTACTGCTAATTTTGTACAGTACCGCGTTTCGAGTCCTGGTCCACATACTTGGTGCTGTTTAGCATTCCCAATTCTTCCAGGCTTTCTTGCCGCGAGAACTCAAAGATCACGCAGACCTCGACTCAACTACGACGCTTGAATAGACTTGAAGCCTTCGAATGTAAAATGCACTCCGACGAGTGAAACTTGGGGTTAAAGGCGATGTGTGCCACAATCGTCATGCCGACTGTGCATATGTCCGTTTCATTGCTGCTGCGGCACTGAACAAATCAGGCCCAACATGAGGAAGGATCCAGAAATACGGCAGCGCGTCTTGTGTAGCACTCGCTGGCCTAAAATGGAATCCCAACATTCAAGTGTCATGACTGCAGTCTAGAGTATTCCAGGTGTTCCTGCAGTATTCTAGCAGCAGAAGACTGCATGCTGGCTGAACAATGTTATCTTACATACCAAGTCTCATTTCTCACAATATGCATCTAGGGGCCTGGCCATTTGACAAGTGATGCCTCATCAAAGCCATCTTTGTTCTACTTCTGGTGTAAATGGTTCGCGTGTGAGCAATGTCTGAGTCCTCAGTCGCAATGTCAATGACATGACACCACCCTCTGCGCACCCTGCCCTTCTGATCCCTTCTGTTGCTCTGCAAGGCCTGTGTATCCGCTGACCCGTGCCTGGCTGACGCCTAGGCGGGGCGGCGCCTGAGAAGCGATTGCCTGCGCACTCCTGCCTCTAGAGGGGACCGTGCCACCAGGCCGTAGCTTGTGGCCTCAATGACCATGCCAACAGGCCACTCGCTGTTTATGGGGGCAACACCACGCAAAGCACCCTCTTACATCTTCGCACGGTCTTTTGCGGCTACCGGGGCTTGTCCTTGAGGTCCGGGAGCTCGAAAGCTCTGAATGGCAAGGTCCGCAGCGTCTCATCCTCCGCTCAAGTCGAGGAAAATTACATTGCCCTTGAAAATATACCCACAACATAAGGCTATTTATAGGACCTGCAGTGGAAAAGGGTTCGAAGCCTTTTTCCATGGCGCTAAAACGCATCTGGGTTCACGTTTGCCACAAACGCCAGCCTCTGCAATTAGTCCTACAAAGACACTCTCAAGGTGGTTACTGTAGAGCTGCAGTGGGCAAGAGTCCCGTGTTTTGAGATGGTAAGTGACCTCAAGTGACCTCTAGTGAGTTCAGGTACCATTCAATAGTGGGATACGTTGGTTTTTGTCGGTCTGTTTCGCGTAAAAATGGACATACCCGCAGTCGGTGGAAATCTTGCGGGCGCGCAATGAACCCTTGAAAACTACACGTTCTGTACAAGATTTCCTTCACCCTTCTCGTCCCAAGTCATGGCAGTCAGACGGACCATTTCTGGAAACAGAATTTGGGATCAACTAGTATATTTCGAGCTGCATGTCAAAGAACAATGTCAGAACAGCATTGCTGTCTGTGAGAGTCCAGCAGCGCACGCAAGACAAAGAGTATACAAACATGAAGACGCCATGAACCTACAGAAATATTCTTGCAAGTCGCCCAGAACAATGAAAATCTGTAAAGCCAAGGACAAGAAAAATAAGAACAAAATACAAAATAATAGTAATCCAAGGATCTTGAAAATAGAAAAACCATAGAGAAAACCCTCTCTCCCTCCCTCATGAGTTTGCTCTAACCCTAGGCCATTGCTCAGTGTGGTAATGGTGGCTAGCACGCAGGGTGTTCATGGGGACGTCAGCTGCACGGCTGCGAATAGGAGGGATGTGTGGGCTAAGCCTCTGAAGGCCAGGCCAGACCTATTGGTTTCACTGTTTGTTTTCCTGTTGATTTGCTATCGTTTTGCAAAATTGTGTTCCTATGGTTTCCCATTTTCTGAATTTGTTTTAGCTTTCCCTTAAAAATAGAGAACAACTAGGAAAACAATAGAAAAGTAATAGGAGGCCACTGGAGGTCCAATAGAGCCACAAATAGAAGAAAAAACGATAAGTAAATGACAAGCAGTGATTTTCTTTCTTCGTGACATACCACAGTGTCGTTCTATTGTTTTCACATTGGAACGCTCTCTTTGGAAGTGCATTAGTTTCTCTATTTTGCCTTTGTTCTTTCCTAATGTTTTCCTAATGTGTGTTTTACATGACTGCATTCTATTACGCTCTGTTTCCAAAAAAACTTTTCAGTCTGCGTTAGCCATTTTGCATAAGCGGTCAACATAAATCTACTTAATGACCATATGGCGCACATATAGATCCTTTTGAGCAACCTATTGGAGGCGGCCTTCTCAAACTGCATACGAGCAATTTTAAACGCGCGCCCTCCAGTATGCTCTGAAATCTGGCCCTTGCAGGCTTGGCGTGGACCAGCTTTGCCAAGTCCTGCATGAGTTCCTCCTCACGCCCTGAGCCCATTAGCCAGCTTAGATAACACCAGCGCTCCTTCCTGATCTGGGCTTGTTGGTGTGTTTTCTCACTTGGGAGAGGTTTGCGCCACCCATCAAACATCTCTTTTGAGATTCAATTCCCTCCCCTTTCCTGCGCTCCAGCGCTGTCTGGGCTTCTTTGTGTCACAAAAAGCTAACTACAACAAGTCATCACCAACCCTTGGCTTCAAAGACATTGTATTGTAGGGCAAAGGAGAGAACTTCGGCGGGTCCATCTCTCCAAATGAATGGCCTTCCAGAAACTGCCATTGATTTCGACCCCGCACACAGAAATACATCATCAAAAGCTGCAACAACCTGAATTTTGCGGGTTCTTCATGGTTTTTCAGCTTTGGCCTACAGTAGCTGAACAGCGTTAGAAGAAGCACTCTTGCTACAACCAATTTGCATCGTAATAATGCCTGGAGTCCTAGAGAATATTCTTTTGTGACCCAAGATTTGCAAAAGCAAGAGCTTTGATTTCGAGGGCGCCTTGCGGCGACGTCCACGCCGTACACCTCCGGCGGGAGCGCCGAGGGCCGGCCACCTTGGCGCAACTGTCTGGGAAGCAAAGCTGCCTCCCAGACAGGGCTGGGTTGATGGCCAGCATCCCTTTTACTACAGCTGTCCTTGGCGCCCGTGTCAAAAAGGAGAATGTTCCAGCTTCCACCTCAGGAGCTGCCCTGTAACCCGCGTTAGACTTTGCTATAACTGAAGACCTTCAAGCTTTGACTTCGGGAATGCTACGAGCTTACTTCAACATAGGGAACGCCGCGGCGAAACTGTATTGTGGTCTTTTGAACGCTACACCGATCACGCGCTTGAATATTTTCATATTTTGTATTACCTCGACCAGGGCTCAGTCAATGGGCCACTGCGATTCCAAAGTGTGTCCCAGGCGCAACGCTCTCAACCATGCCACAAAACTGCTGCGCGTCGTAACCCTGGCGCTTCTCACCCTTGGGGCGCGGCCAGAGACCCTGGCCAATTCTTTTTTCCAACGGGAGATCATTTTGGGCAATTGCCTCAAGCGCGTCTCTCAAAGTGAATGTCACGTTTCCAAATCAATCGCTAGCATTTTGTTGCGCGGGATCTGTGGTGTTTGGTAATCGCGCATAAGTTGTAAGGGTTCCAGGTCTATGAGTTGGTTGCGGGCGTCAATTATCGTACGTCGCGCTCCCGTCATTCGGACAAACAATTGAATTTATCCCCAACAGGCTTTAGGCGCATACTCTGGCAACACCAATACAAGCCTAACCAACCCAGTAGGAAACATGAGGGTAACTCACGAGCGTAAACAAGGACTCCTCTTTTTCGCAGAACTCAAGAGGGTCTGGATATACGTCTGATGCTCCTAGAGACATGGGCAGGGACCCTGCATACCAGTGTTATGAAATACTGGATTATCAGTCGTGGTTAACAACGCACAGACTAGCTTGTAAAGTCATTATAGATGAACTACAACAACCCTACGAGACCCCCACACAGCGCGCGCAGAGGGTGTCAAGGGTGGGTGGGAGCTTCGTGATCTTGAGGTAAAATGGCACCAAGATCAGGAGTTAACGCCTGCATGGTTCAAATCCCAAAATGTCCCTACCCAACCATCCGCTCAATTTTGGAAGATTAAAGGCCAGACAAATTCATTGACCTCAACCCTGCCCAGAACTTTTCCTCCTCGTGGCCGGTTGTCTTCTGGCCGTGCAGCCATCGCCGTGTCCTCGTCTTGTCCTCCTCATTTCCTCCTCTGCCGTGCAACGCCGCGCTTGTCCCCCCTTCGCTTTCTCTAGTCTTCTTGTCGATGTCCTTTTTTTGTCCTCCTAGTGTCGTCTTCTTGTCGCGTCTTCCCTTGCTTCCTTCTCCAGCAACCTCGTGTCCTCCTTCCTGGCGCTTGCAGTTGCTGCCAAGCAGTTCTTTTGCCCGAACAATTTAGTGTTGGGGTTCTCTCTCTTTACAAAACTGTCCATGTAGTGACTGGCTTCGCCTCTGAACTCTGTGTCTTGTCCTGTTGTCACCGTGCCGGCCAACCCTGTGCGCTCCTCTAGTCGTCCTCCTGTCCTTCTCTTCTCTTTCTCCTGGCCCACTCTTGTCCTCCCCTTGTCCTCCTTGTCCTGCAGTTGTCCTCTGGCCGGGCCTGCCAACCCTGTGTCCTCTTAATTCTTGCCCTTTTCTTGTTCTCCCCTTTTGCAGTTGTCCTGCTGCTGCCGCGCTGGTTAAATGGGCGTCGTCGTCTTGTCCTCCTCTTCCTTCCCTTGTACTCATCCTGTCGCTCTCTTGTCCTGCAGTTGTTCTATGACCGCGCTGGCCAACCCTGTGTCCTCCTCTTGTTCTCTTCTTGTCCATCTCTTGTCCTCCTCTTGTTGTCTTGCTGTTGTCCTCTGGCCGCGCTGGCCAACCCTGTGTCCCCCTATTTCTGTTGCCCTGCTGTCGTGCTCTTTCTGCTTTCAAAGGCAGGGGCTGACGCCTCTGCTTGGTGTCCTCCTGCTAACCCCTGGTGGCCACGCTTGCGAACCCTCGCGCTACGGTTACCCCAAACGACGGAAAAGCTCCACGGAGATCTCCGCTGCTCCGTCCTATCATTCCTGTTCACCTGTCGCCTGGAATTGCGCCTTCGACCTCACCTGGCAGGAGTGGAATTGCACGACAAGACTCAGACTAGGTCTCGCTATACGCGGCTTTGCCAGGCATCGAAATTATCATCTGGGAAATTGCGACGCTGCTGTTCTTCACGCTTAATTAAATAGTTCTCATTGACACCGAATTGTGGAGGTTAAGCTTTTTTCTCGGGTATGATGGTGGTCTTGCTTGCCTGTACCCTACAAGATCCGAACCTCATCAAAATCTCAAGCTGTGTCAAATTTTAATTGGTTCGCTCAGGTCCTGCGTAAAGCGGGTGTTCCGAGGGCGACGACACTCCTTGCCCTGTTAAACTTCCAGCACCGGTGTTTCGCTGTGGCGAGGCCGAGGTTTTCGCGTGGGGCCTATACGGGGCCTCGGGACCATGCCAACAGGCCGTAGCCTGCTGTTTGCAATGGATTTCGCTTTCATTCCTTCCATTTCCGTTTGGTTCCTGCTGCGTTCCTCTACGCTCTTTTTCATGTCCTTTTCATTCCTTGCGCATCCCGTTTCATTCCTATTCTGTTCCTTTTCGTTCCTTCTTTTTCCGTTTGCTTCATTGTCCTTTCCTTTCCGTTCCTTTTGGTTCCTTCTGGTTTCTTTTTGATTTCTTTGCATGTCCTTTTCATTCTTCTTCATTTCCTGTTGTTTCCTCTTGCTTTCCTTTTGCTTCATACTCCTTTCCTTTTGCATCCTTTTCATTTCCTTTTGTTTCCTCGCCCTTTCCCTTTCCTTCCTTTTCCTTTCCTCTGGGTTCCTTTTAACTTCCTTTTGCTTCCTTTCGCTTTCCTCTTCATCCCCTTCCTTCCTTGATATCCTTCTGATTCCGTGCATTCCTTTTGCTTTCCTGTTCTTTTCCTTTTGCTTCCTACTAATTTCCTTTGGTTTCCGGTTGATTTCTTTTTGATTCCCTTTCATCCCTCGTCTTAATCTCCTTTGGATTCCTTGCGGTGTCCTTTGGATTCCCTTTAACTTTCATTCCTTTTGATTTTCCGTTCGCTTCCTGTGTATGTCCTTTCGTTTCCTTTTGATGTCCTTTTCATTCCTGCTCCTGTCCTCTTGCTTCCTATTGACTCTTGATCTCCTTTTCCTTCCTGACCTGCTCTATCCTTTTTACCCCTTTCTTCCTTCCTCCTCCCAGCGCCGCCTACCACTACTCGGAGCAAGTAAGACCAAGACAGCACTTACGCAGCGCATCCTGCTTGTTCAGCAGGTGTAGTTGTCTTATTTACTCCAAATAGGGGTCGGCGGCACCTGGGCGTCAGCCCTTTCTATCCGGCGACGCCGTCCCGGCGACCATAACAAGCCTAGCTTGCTATATGGAGACGCGCTCCACGCCGCCGACCTCTTTTCTAGCATCACCAGGGCTCATGCGGTTTCGTCAAAAAACGTCAACAACAGAGGGAAAAGGATCAAAAATGATCACTGTAAAGCTTATAGCTTTAAAGCCTCTAGAAAAAAGCATTGAAAATGGAAACAAATTTTGAGGACAAATTTTGGTCGAGCATCATTAGCATCAGCAGAGTCTCAGCAGGAAAGATGCAAATCCTTTGGTGCATGACTAGGCGCAAAACACTGATTTACATTGTTTTTGCAAAATGTTTATAGTTTATGAACAATGCTGCTCGTACTCTGGTGATGCCAATGGTGCTCGACACAAATGCTACCTCAAAACTTCCTCTCCCCTTAGCATACTTTCTTCTCCAGAGATAAAGCTTTACAGTAGCCATGTTTGATCCCTTTTGCTGTGCACTTGACATTTTTCTCAACTAAGTACGTTCAAGATGTCGGTTTGCGGCCGACATTTCTAGCACCACCTGGGCTTATATGGCTTCTTCAAATATCAGTACTTTGTAGTGGAAAACGTTGGAAAAACTATATTTTTCCCCAGATAGCGAAGCTATGGGGTTCTTACTTCAAATAACAATGTGGCGCTGGTGCTGTGAGCTGGCTGTGCACGTGGTGGAGACAGGTTGGTGGTGCCAGTGCCAGGTGCCGGTGCTGGTGCTGTGAGCTGGCTGTGCACGTGGTGGAGACATGCTGGTGCTGGTGCCGGGTGCCGGGCGCCGGTGCTGCTGCTGGGCGTCGGCGCTGGTGCTGGCGCTGGGCGCTGGTGCCGGTGCTGGTGCCTGGTGCTGGCGCTGGGTGCCGGGTGCAGGTGCTGGTGCTTGTGGTTGCTGGTGCGGGTGCCGGCGCCGGTGCTGGCGCTGAGTGCCGGGCGCCGGTGCTGGTGCTGGTGCTGTGAGCTGGCTGCGCACGTGGTGGAGACAGGTTGGTGGTGCCGGTGCTGGTGCTGGGTGCCGGGTGCTGGTGAGCTGGCTGCGCACGTGGTGGAGACAGATTGCTGGCGCTGGTGCTGGTGCTGGGCGCTGGGTGCCGGCGCTGGCGCTGGCGCTGTGAGCTGGCTGTGCACGTGGTGGAGACAGGTTGCTGGTGCTGGTGCCGGGCGCCGGTGCTGGCCGGGTGCCTGTGCCGGTGATGGTGCTGGGCTGCGCGTGGTGGAGACAGGTTGCTGGTGCTGGGCGCCGGTGCTGGTGCTGTCAAGGGCTTTGTACTGTTTGCGCGCATACTGTTGTACGTACACTGTTCTATGTGCAACGTCAGGCTCTCAACGGAGCATTGTTTCAGCATGTTTCAGCCTGCTACACACAAAATATAGTCGTGCTGGATACTGCTTGGCCTTGGGCGAGTGAAGCCTACGGGCTTTGCCGTTTATGCGCACTCTTTTGTGCGCATAAACTTACACGTGCAAGATCATACGGCCTTATCGTTCTACAGATCGTTGTTTCAAGCGCGCTACAAGGGCAATAGTGGCGCTGGATACTGCTTGGCCTTGGGCCAATGACACTTACGGGCTTTGCTGTTTGCGCGCATACTTTTGTGCGCATAAACTTATACGCGCAAGAGCACACTAGGGATAGCTATGGGGTTCTTACTGCAAACTGAATAAGAATGAGCTGGCTGCGCGCGCTTTCGAAGGGTGTCAGTGCTGGTGCTGGTGTTGTGGTCCTGGGTGCTGGTGGCTGAGCGCGCGTTTAAGCCGGGCGGCCGTGCTGGTCGGGTGCTGGTGCCGCCCCCGTGTCAGCTGGCAAAGCGGACTGGTGCTGGCGTCAGCTGGTTGCGCGCGCTGTGGAGCCGCCGTAAGTTGGCTGTGCGTGCAGGCTGTGTACATTCTTGTTCCAGCCAGTCGCATGTCACAGGTCGTGGGATGCTGCCTAGCTATCTGGGTCTATGCTGGCTTAATTGAGCAGTTTCTAGCCTAAAGTTATCTGTGTTTACAAGGTTCGCGGACGCAAAGGTGGCTCCAACTTCGCCCATTGGGTGTGCCCACGCCCGCGCCGTGCGTGCCAGTGCGCGACTGCGTGCGCGCGAGTGCGTGTGCGCGAGTGCGTGTGCGTGCGGGTGCGTGTGCGGGTGTGCATGTGCGTACGTGTGTCTGAAGCTGAGGTTGCCGGGCTTTTTCCATCAGACCCTCGTGCGCACAGCTCTGAGTGTGTATGCACAGGCGTAAGAAGCTGTGCTAATCGTCGGATTTTGCTGTGCAAACAGCCTGCGGATACGCGCATGCCAAGGGCGTCGTCGGTTGGCGAAGCCTGTCAGTTTCAAAAGACTTGCAGAAAGGATGTGCAAACCCAAACAATGAGTGGGCTGGTACCACCGGCTTACGACTTTGGCATGCTTTGGCGAGTATATCGGATGTCCCAGGCGCCACGCGGCTCATGTGCGTGGAGGATTCGTCGGAAAAGCCATCCGAGTTGTCCTCAAGGGTCTGAAAGATTGGCCAGCAGTCTGATCGTGAGTATTCGTGAGTCATGCAAGGACCGAACGGAACGGGAAACATACGGGGAACCGGGGTCTCTCACCTCTTACGATTCTTATGTCGACGTCATCATTGAGGTGTGAAACAGATTGGGAAAGGGCTTCTGCAGATGGTGTGGCCATAATGGTGGCTTCTCTTTTCAGGGAAGGCTACAACTTCTAGGGTGAGGAAGGTTCCGGTCACGGCTGGGGACGTCTCGCGGCTTGACTCTCCTCCATGCTGTGGCTGCCCGACTCACACTCATCTGAAGCGGACGAGCTCAGGGTCCTCGAGTTAGGGGGTGCTCTGGGCGGTTGGACCTGATGTTGAGCTTCACTTAACCGGGAGCCACCAAACAAAGCAAGTAACTACACCAGGCCGCCCCACACGCCAAGGTTTAGTTCACCGATGGTTTTCGTAGCAAGAGTGAATCTTCAACATGTTGCTTCTAGTCATGGTCCCAATGGTGATGTTGAAAGTTGAAGATGAACGCCCCGCGTTCAAAGACTGTTAAACATCGCTTGCTGGCCCCGTAATACCAAGTTGCCTGGAGGTCTTGACAAAAAACACCATTGGAGCCGAAGCAGTGGCCACGAGCGGCTAGCAGCAGGCGGAAGCAGGGTATGATGCGGGTATGTCGTCGGCTGCTTGGGCGGAGTGTTTTTGCTTCGTACGGGTGAGTGGAAAATGGCCGCATTAAAATTTAGATACTGCAACATGCCGCAGGAGATTATTGCTGACAGAACTCACAGGCTTGCATTACTGTAAACATTTGGCAACTCTTGTCAAGGCTGGACTCTAGACTAGGTTGGCTCTTGGTGTCGATGCCAAGAACATCTAAGAATCTAAGAATTTGGTCAATGAGCCAAAGAGCTTCACCGAGGCAGTCCGTGATGTGTGAAATCTCAAATACCTTCTGAAACCTGACAGTCAAACATCTGATGCAAACAAATCACACTCCGAAAGGGATAGTAGAAGCTAATGGAATGGTGAGACAACGGCAAAAAGACATAGTAGAACAGTGGTGACCTCAAATTGAATTGGAAAAGTGAATATCAAATCCCGTTTGAGTATGTTTTGGAAACCCTTTCTATTTGGAATTATCTACAAAAGTAAGCAAACGCATTCGGTTTTAGCATCACCTTCGTTGTTGAGTTTTTTTGTACCGCCCGCCCTGCCCCCTTTGTCAGAGAACCTGTTACAACATAGCAAACAACATCTTTGCAAACCTAGATCTCCAACACATTTTATGACTAGGAGCAAGGACGCTACTAGGGGCTCCTGGCATCGCTACTAGTACCAAGAAACTACTAGGGACTCCTGGCCTTACTACTAGTGACAATGTTTGCTATTAGAAACAAGAATTCAATAGAATTATAAGTAAAATGTGTTTGGCCGGGGCACCTGGACTGCACGTGGAGCCGGAGCTGGTGTTTGAAGCCCCACCTTGTGGAAGAGTAATGTCCAGTTCCTTTGGGTGTGTTTTGGGTAATGTCCATTCAATGGGCTTTGCGGCTTTGCTTGTCTAGGCCTGTATTAGACACGTTGCTCCTCCCCAGTTCAACGTGAGAGTTCTATATAGATGTGTTAGTCCATGTTTGCCCTTCTCAGGGGTCTTTGGGGATCTCCCCACCCCAATCCTGTACATCAAGTGTCTGAACACAACTTCTCAAAATGTCACAAACGATTAAAAGGCAGTTACAGAAAGGCCCGGCTCGGACCCTGACGGAAGCCAAGCACTCCTGGCTCGAGAACCAAAAATACGACGCATGATCAAACTCCAGCCACTTCAAACAGTTTAAACAGTTCAAAACAAGTACTGCCACTCCAAAAATTGATGCTTGAACTTTGTTGCACACATTTGCACAATCCGGAACCAGGGGTTTCGATCAAGAGCGGAATTTCACGGTCTTTCTTTCAGGAGCGAGGATCATAGTCGATCAAGGAAAAAAATACTGAGCTGGTTGATGAAAAACATGGTCGAACATTCCGCAGGAGATGAGTGATGTTGGCCCCCGAACACCAACCACGGCGGTATAAAATTGCGTAAATCCGACAAGTCCTTACACATCCAATGAAAAGAATGAAGAATGAAAAGGATGAAAAGAATAAAACCCACAGTGGTTTTCATCTCAACATCTTCAACTGGGGGCCCCTGTGAGTGGTCTTTTCGATTCGAGATCTCCCGCATTCGACACTGCGACAGCGAGATGCCCCAAGTGCAGTCCATTGTTCTTGCCGAAGGCGCCTGAGATGAGGGTAGAGCAAGTGACCAGACTCTACACACCTTTTGTGACCAAACTTTACGAGCCAAGTGTGACAAATTCAACATCCTGGTGCTTGGCAACGACGAAAGTACCACCAGTTTTGAGCTACAGTTGAAGGCTTGGAATTGGCAGGCCCACTTGGCACATGGCCGTCATGCAAGGAGGAGCTGCCTCAGCTGCCAACGAAGCAAATCAAATGCGAGATGAGAAGATTTAGCTTCCTGGCTCCATATTGAGCGTTGTATTGCCGCTCCAGGCAGCTGCAACAAATGTGAAAGTCATGAAGAATCGAAGAATGCTGTGTTGCTCAAAAGTGCTTCAGCACTCACCATGGGACGTCGGACCCGCGAGACCGCGAAACCCAAAGCTTGAATGGCGAAGCTATGTCCTCTGACCGCAGCCCAGGCTGGTGCAATCACTGCCGAAACGGCCTTGAAGCGACGAATGTCATAACACACAACAAATATAACAGCGAAGCGCGCAGCCTCTCCTATGGCACTAAGGACAATTTTCTCACCATCCCAAGCCAATCACAAAGAACAAAAGCTCAATAACGCCAAAATGTTGTTTCCTTCAATCCTTCTAGAAATCATCATAAACTTAAACCGTCTGACCATTTCTGACTCAGAGCTTGGAAGACGCTCTTTATTCATATTCCACTTCGATCAATTTCTGCATGATCTTCTTCCGTTGACTCACCTCGCGGCGCACCGTCGAGCTCACCGGCCTGGCATGCCTTGGTCAGTCAGGGAGTTTTGTGACATTTCTGGAATCGGCGGTGACCGAATCGATGGAAAGCGTGGAAAAAATGGGCGGTCGCAAAGCATGACAGCCGGATACAGCCGGATACATAGACCGGTCTTGTGAAAGTGTTGCAAGAGCAATGATGGAGATTGAAAGGGAATGGAAATCCTTCTACGCTGCTTCTTGCTTGGACCAAAATGATTAGGATGTTTGACGACAGGTGAGAGGTGAGGGGACCGGGCGGACCGGGGACAGGGAACAAAAGTCAAGCTCTGATGGCAAGGGCTGTCTTCGATTAGAAGAAACATCGATCAAGAATCAAGAAGCGGACAGAAGTGCAGCGGCACAAAGACGTTCCAGAAGCATTTGCACAATGACTTGGGGCGTCCGGACCAGTCAGTTCGCGCCTGAATGTCAAGAAGAAACTTGACACTCTGTTGATCTCTGTTGACTTAAATGAAGAAATCCACATTTCAAATCAATTTGCCCAATGAGGGTTGTTAACGAAGCACTTGACCTGTCAATCTGGCAACTGCATTGCTGACACCAAACATTCTGCACCATCATCGAAGAAAACACGAGTTACAAACATCCTAGTAACTTCTAACTGCAACGATGCGCCTGAAGGTCTGACCAGAAAGCGGTGGACGGAGTATTTGGTGATCCTGGAGGAAACATCGTCCATCACCTACACCCCACAATTTCGGAGTTTGTGCTCGACCGAAGAATGTCCTGAAGCCAAATGATGTGGACCTTGACAGGATCAAAATTAATCAAGGCTTGGGCAAGACTGGCAACACCGTGTTGACACCTTTCATCAGTGACAAATCAGTGTCCAGTTCAATCTATTTGAGGTGTATTGAGGTGTGGCGAGGCTCAGAGGCTCTTATCCACTGAATGCTTCACATGAAGCGCGATGTGCCCAGCTACCAGATTTGAGAGTGTCTGTCGTGCACGGTGAGGTTCTAAGTGCCGTGATGAACATCTTCCTGCCCCTTTTTCGCTTCAGGCAATTAGGTCGGTCCATCTTCTACAATATCATACAATAACATATGTGATGCAAGCACAACTTTGGTTCTGGGAGACATTGGCTTTGCGTGGCAGGATTGATGCATGCGATGCTGGCTCTTTTCCATGTATCAACTACATTGTCTGTGTAGAGATCCAGGCAATTCAAGCGACTGAACGAACGATAATACAACAAACATGGCTTTTGATGAGTCTCTGTCGTGCTGAACCCTGCTGTGCGCACCCTTTTGCTCAGTATCTCAGGAAGAAAGCACAGCAGCGGATCTGAGGCCCCTGCTTTGGATTCCCGTTGTCGGCGATGCAGCCGACACCTTGGCCATATTGGATAAAAACGGCAGCTGAGTATGAAAAAAGAAGTTGTCTTGCCTCAAAAAATCACAAACAGGTTAGATCAGGTTAGCATCTGCTCACGGTAGCCCTGCATGAACTTTGTTCGTTACTGAACTTTGCTCTGTATATTTGCACCCTGGCAGCCACCAAGGGTGAATCTACCATGTCAATGTAATCTGCGTTAATCTTCTGGGTATATACTTCTTTTTGCTGAGGACTCCAAAACCTTTGAACTGGCAAGTCGACCAGCATTGGGTATGCATCAAGTCTCCAGCAGGTGGCACGGCTACAATCTGCACCAATGGCGTTGAAGGAGTCTGCAGGGCCACATTGACATTTGAATCGGTTCAAGCAGCAGACCTGAAAAGTCTACAAACCTCAGAAAACCTCTTTCAGGCATTTTCAAGCCACAGCTGCGACGCACATATTCTCAGAAGCTCCCAGTGAATTCGTGATTTCCCACCTGCGCAGGTGTGGGGCTCATTGTCCGAGCTGTGAATGATCCTGGTTCGCGGGCAGGTCGTCTATGATCAAACAAAACAGGGGTGTTATGCGGAGCTTGTTGTTGACGTGGGGTCTAAATGTCCACCGTGGTTTCAAGACATTGCAGCATGAGCTCCACTGGCCAACACACCTAAGTCTCGTTCTACACGAACCTGGCCTCGCCCACAGCAATATTAATTGATAAGTAAAACCAACACTTGCGTTCAATCTGTATCCAAAGGACATACTACTCTGCACACAGGAAGCGTGTTGAACCAGCTCAGACACCTCTCTTGGATCAAGGAAAGCAGACCCTGCTCTGGGCCGAACTTCCCCCTAGGCTCCTCGAGGTCGAGCCTCAGGTTCAGTGCGATGACTGCGGCTTTGAGCGCCTGGCGACGAAATGGGCCACAATGCAAATCCACAAGAGTGTTCTTTGGCATTGCCAATCTCCTTGATCACATATTTGGCTAGACTTGGAAGAAGGTTGCAGAATGGATCAAACTTGCCAGGATGACTAAATAGCAGTAGGTCAAACAGGATTAAATGATCCCAGGGCTTTCATTCAAGCGATTCAAGTGCAAACTATGGATTGGATTGAGTAATATAAAGGTTCTTCCTGGAGTCCCTGGCATGTCGTTGTATACTGGCTTGATGTCCAGAACATGCACCCAACACTTTGGGGCAGCGAAGGTTCACTTCATGAAGAAGTCTTGCTGGACCAAAGGACCCAAACAACCAGAGCCAAACGGAAAGTTTGCAAACATGCTGCATTTGGTCCTTTCATTGCATTTCATGGTATTTCCAAGTGTCTTCAATCTGAGAAGCTCAGATTGGGCTCTTGAGTTCACTGGCCCAATCCTCTGGCCCATCCTTCGTGATCCGCGCCTGGAGACAACGACAAGTGTCGTGCCGAGGCATTGGAAGGCCTCGCTGGTTTTGCCTTGGCGTTCTCTGAGGCATGTGACATCTTCCCCAAAAAGTACAGACATGCAGAGACAACGAATATGACACGACTATGACTGGCGACCCTTGACTCTGATCACGCATGAGTCTGGCACCAAAGTAGATTGCTGCAAATGTGGCTGCGTGGAAACCGCAAACCGATCAAGCATGATCCTACACACAGGAGCGTAGGATCTGCGGTCCGATGACCCAATCCCGTTGACTGGGACCGATGACCCAACTCCTTCGCTTCTTAAAAAGAACCTACAGCACACCATCATCGTCGCCCAATCAGGGGAGGATCCTGGTTGTCAAGGTCATACATTCCAGGTGAATTCCGATCTTTCCTTCAGCCAAGTCAAAAGGGTCTGGTGCCAGGCAGGCACTGCTCTTTCTCTACAAACGATAAGTTGGCTCAGCAAAAATGGAAAAGCAGGCTCCAAGCTGAGTGTGCAACTCCTTTGAACCCCATCGATGATACTCTGCAACACTCAGTGACTCCATCGGTTTTTCAAAGGAGATCTCAAAAAGGAGACACCGATCCAGCTCACCTTCAATGCGGATGCTCAGAATCGCTGGAAACATGGCTTCTCCCATTGCAAGAGCCAGGAAACTAGTCAGTCAGGTGATGCATCAGCGATGAATCCAGGAATTGTTCTTCCAATCCTCACATCTCGGATTCAGACATGTGCTGAAATCCTCTTAAAGCTCCAGCTCTTGTGCTGGTGTACATCATCAGGAATTGAAGATGGAATATTGTGAACACTCATCAGGTTCACACAGACTTCTTCCTCGGATGTTTGCACTGCACATTCTCCAAAACGCAAAGGACCCAGCGACTGTGACATCTCATAGCTTGCAGTTCTAAAACCTCGTGGGCTTGCTGTTAGGAGTAATTTTTTGAAGCCTGTCATGAGTGAGCTGGGACGCAGTTGTTGTCAACGCCAAAGTGAAGATCCAAGAAGCTTCGCTTGGATGACATAGACAGGATCCTGGAACCCGAGCCGGCACAGTGGCCCAGAGAGGTCGAGTGCTTCAGGACGTTCGAAGACGCTTGAGTAATGCCTTGAAAACAGATTGACAGTACCGAAAGTAAAGCAAAAAAGACAAGATTCATGGCACGTGTTTTAGATGGAAATTCTTGTTCTAAGTCCACTTGGCGAACATTCGGATATGCAGATGTGGGGTCGTGGCTCGCCAATCTTGCTGCCAAGGATCATGTAGCTGCCATAGATGAGAACCTCTTTTGACTGGACTGAACATGCGTGCAAGCGACTTAAAAGAACAGCGAAAAACAAAGGTCCCAGAAAATGTAGCCCTTGAAGCTGGCAAGTCACATGCTCCAGGTCCCCCGTCTGTAGCCAAATATTCACAGCCTGCCAATCTGACAGAGAGATGTGAAGCAACAGAGGTAAAGGATGGCAATTCTTTGGTGGCAAACGATTGTCTGCTTTAAAAAAAGCAAAACCCTCGTCTTGTTCTCCTGCTCCATTCAAAGGATTCAACAATTGCAATAACAATACTGCATGAACCAGGCCAGGACTGATGTCAGAAACCTCTCTGGGGCGGCCTTTGTTGGAAAGCAACGATTGCTGGTGGAGAGGATCACCATGCCACCAGGCTTCAAGACACGGCCCACCTCCTTCATCACCTCAAGCATTGCATGGCTACTGCAGGGTGTGAGGGGCACAGCAGCCGTGCAAAATATTGAATGGTTTCGGGAATCGGTGTGTGCTTCAAGCACGGCGACATACTACAACAAAAAGTATACTTCTGACCCTGACTGAGACTTGCCAAAGCCCCAACTGAAATGGATCAGTTCCCAAAAACGCGGAAACAAATCTTTTCCTAGGGTTTGCCAATGCATGGTTAAGAGATCCGTCTTGTAAAACGTACTCTAGCAGCAGGGGACTTGTGAGATGCTCTATGCTCCTGGTGTCAGTCGTACAACAGATTCTCAACTTGGCATAACAAGACAAACAAGAACAGTCTGCCAAGTATCTGTTGCAATTCCCTAGTGGTAATAATTTGTTTTGGTGTTGTTTTTTTGCTCATGAGATCTGGTTGGAGTGCCCGTCGGTTGCTAACTTTAGCGAGAGGCAAAGCAGTCCACCTAAGACACAAGAATAAAAACTAGGAATTGTTGAAATAAACCCACGATATGATATTATACGAGTGTGAAAGATTTAGTTATTGGGGTGTGTAGAATTTGTAGAAAAATGTTTTTGGGTTAGCCCCATTAGCCTGCGTATTGCAGTTTGGCACCTCCAGAGGCTTGCACAAGTAGTCAAAGGACACCGTGCAGGTGACAATGTCAAAGGACCTCAAATTGCTGAACTGATCACATGTATGAGCACAGGGTTGTGTATTGAAATGGGGAGACCCCAAAGACCCCGTGGCAAACGAAAATAGGCCATCTCACATTGAGATGGCTTGTGAATGTGCACAGATGTACTTCGAGGCTGCGTGTACACCATCGTCGTGTCTACCTTACGCAATGCTGAGGGTGGCCACAGCCGGAAACATTCGCCGCTCATGAAACAGCAAAGGCCATCAAAGGCCAAAGATCCATGGGTTGGGGCGGTTGGGGGTGGTCTTCGCATTCCAGCAATACCCACATGGTGTCCCACATGGTTCTTAAGATGCTGTCAATCATACATACCAGCATCTAGTAGCTACTAGCAGCTTCTTTGCTCCTAGTAGTAAGGACAGGAGCCCCTAGTAGCGATGCACTTGTTACTAGTAGCGATGAATTGCTCCGCCTCTCGACCTTTGGACCCACCTTTTCCTCGTCGAGAGACGAGTCCTCGTAGGGAAGCTTCGGGTTCTCGTTCAGGTCTCGAACCTGGGAAGGCTGTCTGTGAACACGTGCGATCAAGCATCCTTCTGGCACGTTCAAAACATGACTCTGATTCATGAGATACCAATATTTCGGCACAAGCTTGCTGGCTTTAATAGCAAACACTATATATACGTATACAGTATATATATAAAGACTCCCTGGGTTCTTCTCTCTTTTTACCGCGATGCAAGACCTTAGTGGTCAGATAAAGTAAGAAATTCGACCAAAAAATTCAGTAGAAGAGGCCCCTGCCTCTGACTCCCCCCACTGCTCCCCCGCCAAGCCGGGGTGAGCGTGAGCCGCAAGAGTCAGGGTGGTCCCGGGCCCCGCCAAGCCGGGGAACGTCCGGGCCACCACCCTTATTTCAGATCATCCTTTGATCTCTTTTCTTCCTCCCGCCGGCGGTGTTGAATTCAACGAGAAAAATTCTACTTCTTGGCGCGCTTTCTGCGCTTCTGTTTCTGACCCTTTCCCACGACCTGAGGACAGGTGTAGTGCGAAAGGACGTAGTCTTGACCTGCAGCATTGCGGGGGTAGGGGCGACTCTCTTCACGAAGAAAAGTGCGGTAGCGCTCCATAGCTTTGTCATAACGTGCTCTGGTCTTACTTTGGACGGTTAAAGTGCGAAGTGGTCCCAATCGTCTCCTTTGTGCTTGCCTTGCTGCTTTACTCCTACCTTCTACATGAGTTCCAGACTTCTTCACCATTTCTTCTTTACTGGCCGCCTCGATGGGCGGTCCGCTGGGTTTTGTGAAGTATGGACATACGCCCATACTCCATGACTCCCCGAAGCTAGGAGTAAAGCGTCAATTCGACTCAGGGTTCGCCTCATCTTCCGGCTGCTGCTCCGGCCCCGAGCCAAACAATGCAAGCACACGAGACTGTCGATCATATGCACCATCTTCGTCCGAAAAGCACGTCGCTTGAGAATGCGCCATCTGATGCTGGTGAGGACGGCCCTCAACTCGAGGACGTTGATGTGTTCAGGGGACCCTGACCGTCGCCACCCCATCACGGTGCGCCATTTCCACAGCTTCGCTGGAAGACTTGCTCTCAACCTGTGGTATCGAAGAGTATCTTCGGACGGCGCCTGTAGCATGATGTCCTCACCCTTGAGGCTGACCAAATTCAGGAGCTTCTTGACCAGAGTAAGCTCCCCGGTGACTTGTCCCTCCTTCCTCCCCGACTGCATAGGAGGCCTATAGAGGAGTCCTGCTAGTCCACCTGATGTCCCAGGAGCTGTCACATCGACCGCCTGCTGAGGTGATAGGAAAGGACATAGGCCCAGTTGTCCACCCAACTGTGATATGAGCCATGTGACTACGGTAACGTTCCATGAGTTGCCGATCAAGGTCTTCCTCTCATCCAAGTGCTGTGGGGAGCCCTGCCATTGCTTGGCCATGCATTGGACCGTGTAGTCCTTGGGGAACCCCATGATCACCTCCCGTTCTTGTATGTCAGGCAGACGCGGTTGGTTCTTGGCATCCACGATCATGAACTTCTCTTGGTATTGGTATGGTGGGAAACGGAAGTGATCTTCTTCCCACCTGAGTTTTTCTTGTGCGTTCAACTTGTCCAAGCCAGCTGGTCTCCTCCCTGCAAAGTCCCTTGGCCTCGACGTGGTGAACGTAGGGAATGGCTCACCCGAGACCTTGGTGCACCCTGGTTGCAGATAGAGCTTGGTCTCCACAGCGGCCTCCAACTCCACCTTCTTGAATGCAGCGTCCCCGGAACCCTCCAGGGGGCCTACTGAAACACCTTGAGCTGGCCTCAGCTCCCAGTCACACCAATACAAACGCGGCCTCCGAGCAAGCGAAACCCCGCACGCATCAACGTGAACAGGTATATCACCAAACGACCTGGTCATGACCTGCCTGTCGTGTGTATCCATGCTGGCGACACTCTCGGCCAAATAGCGCACCTGTGCCCACTTGAACTGCTTTCTCACCATCTCCCTAATTCGTTCGACATGGATAAATAAGGAGCTACGGTGATCGCGTAACGCTCCCCGACGATCGACATTGAGCCCACTCACTCCTTGACACGGGGGACCCGCGCCCGCAAGAACGAGTGAGACTTGCGAGAATCGACATGCCCACTGCTTCACCTCCTCCTCTGTGACAGCCTCGACACCTGCCTCCAAAAACAACGTGGCTGGAAACTTGCTTTCCAGCACCCGACTGGCAGCCTTGTTCACTTCCACGCTGACATGACCTACGACTGCCAACCCACACGCGTCGGCCGCCACGCGGAGAGCACCTATTCCGTCAAATAGCCCGATGGTGAGCACCCCATGCAGATCATGAGGCTCTGCGATGTCACCCCTGATGGTCGCCTCCGAAGCTGCTACCCCAAAGCCAGTGAGACCTGTAGTGACTGTGAGGCCTCCTCCTGAGGTGGAAGCATCACTTGCGGTGACTTCTGAAGAGATGCCCAATCGAAAGTCCAACTTCGCCAACGGGATGAGACAGAGGAACCTGGCCACCTCCAACTTGACCCCGTCGGGAATCGGCAATTTGATGACCGGTGGGTACCCACGAAAGGCCTCAATAAACCTCCAGATGTGGTTCAGGGACCCCAAGAGGGGTCGCCTAAACATACTCAAATACACCAACCCCCCAGCTATCACTTGCGCTTGCTTCTGGTTACTCACGGCCTCCTTCAAGAACAGGAGAGACAATGCAGTGTACTTGTAGACCTTGGATGGCTTGGGGTATGCCACACCTTGACCTCCATCAATGATCGCACCCTGCACCTCAGCCACGAGAGAACGCGAGACGGCCTTCTTCGGGTGACGTGGAACACCCCATACCTCATACTCAGCTCTGAGCGCAATGATGCCCGGACTGCACTCCCCGTCCAGGAGTCCATGAGACTTCTTCTCCACCTTTTCCAACTGATCAAAGTTGTCCAGGTAGATCCTGTGGAGCTCTGATGATGAAGAGAAGGGCCTGTCCTTACGAATCTCCTGCTCAGCTCGGAGCCATCACTGGTTCGGTTCGATGCCATCCTCACAATGTTCCTGCGCACATGCTGGGCCAGGCTAACAGAGTTCTTGAACCCCATCGGCAACACCTGAGAGGCGATGTAGTATGGTCCATCGTCACCTGGCCACATGTCTGAGGGGATAGGCTTGTTGAAGGCCAGGAAAGGGTGCCACTCACTTGGCACCCGGGATATATAAAAAAAGCAGCGCACATCTTCAGATGAGACCACTAGATCCTCTGTAGGCATAAGTTGTAGTGGCCCCATCGTTGCCCAACTAGGTAGGGTGGCTACGTCACCTTCCAATCCTCTACAGACGTTGTTGCATGGCCTAAGATCCATGATCAGCCTGTGAACAGGCATTCCGTCCACCACCTCGTCCTTCCTGACTCCAAAAAGTCCGTTAAGCAATGGTTGCCCATCGATGTGGTAGATTTTGCTTTTGGGTAGAATGGTGCACACCCCATTCTTCGTCAAGCCTTCACACACTTCACGCCAATGGTCATCATGCACGAGAACACGAGGCCCCTTCATGGTTTGCTGCATCTCCCCGGGGAGGAGATACTCTGTGAAGTTTTCCACGTAATGCTTGCACCCCAACTCACACACGTCAGCTAAATCAACAGAGGCGATCTCGGCTGGCATAGCCGGTGCCAGATTGGCCCAAGTTGTGGACTGGGCGCAGAGCACCTCATCCCCACAATAATCGATGGTTTTCAAATGAAAGAAGTCCTGCCACGAAGTCTGCTCCAGTCGTTCAGGCCACTCTGATGCCACTTGAGCCTCTCTAGCTAAATGCCTTATCGCCTCAACCTGAAGTGAAGTAGGGTGGAAGTCATTCTCAGCGGCCTCCCCGTAAAACAGATTGAGCGCCAAGCACATCCCTCTAACAATACCAACGACGTCCAGGTCCAAACCCGTGATGTCCCTTAACTGCAACGCGTTGGTGGGCAATGGAAACACATCGCCCTTGGGCTGGGTCCTGCATCGCTCGACCAAACCTATTTTCCGACAAAGATGAACCAACTCGTTCACTAGCCAAGGGACAACCTGAACCAAACCATCCCCTGCCACCGGCGGCTGCATGCAATCTTTTTCCGCAGACGAGGTCATCAACGAGGTCTCAACTGCAGAGAGGCGTGAAGAAGTGGCTGTGCTACCCAGCCAAGCGCCTCGGGGTTGCTCTGTTCCTGCTTCGTCGACTTGACGGCTTGGTTTCAGAGCTCCATTCAAAAACGTGGCCTCCTCTTCAAACGGGCCTCCATCGAAAGAGGGGGGATCCCCTCCTGTACCTGGCATCGACGAGAGCTTCTCTTTCACTTTTTCTGGTCGCTCTTGTCCTTGCCACGCTTTCCTTTGCCCTTTGCTTCCTTTCCCTTTCCTTCGCTGCCATAGTCGCGCCACTGCCAATTGTCTGACTTTCCTTTTCCCTTGGATGCTTCGCTGCGAGTTTTCTGATCCTCTTTTTGTTCTCTGATAGCCTCTTTTGCTTCTCCTCTTGAGGAAAGGAGAGGTCGTTCCGGCGGTAAGACCTCGAGCCGCTGGGCGATTTGCCACGCCGATCCCTGCGACACCATCTCCACCGACTTCAGCCTCTGGACCAAGGCGTCGACGCATTCGGCCATCCGACCTTGTAAGGCCAGATCGATGGCCCAGCAGAGGGTCAATCCCTCTCGACCTGGCCCGCCTTGAAGACGTGGCGCCAAAGCTTGGCGGTAATACTGCACCGCCAAGGGCTGTATTGCTGTCTGATCTTGATGCCATACTCCACCACTTGCTGTAAGCAGGCTGCCCTGCATCTCCCGCATCGGTCGCCGGACTTTCTGCTGTTCCTCGAAAACCTCCACGGACTCGGATGTGCTGGTCTCCTCGCTCCCGGAGCTCCCCGAAGAGGAGGAATCCTTCTTCTTCTTCTTTGTCTTCTTTTGAGCCTTCACTGCATAGCGTCGGCGATATTTGGGGTCCGGGTCCAAGCCCGTTCCGCCGAACACGTCCTTCAGCTCCTTGCGGGCTCCTGCTTTCAGATCGATCTTTGCTTTTTCCTTCTCTGGGCTTTCGCTCCTCTTTCTCTTCCTCTTGTCTTTCTTCTTGGCCGTCTTCTCCTCTCCAGGTGAAGCCTTGTCTCCTCCTGCTTTGCTCACCTCTCCGTCCCTCTCCCCGACTAGGAGGGGGGGCTCTGCTGTCCTCTCGGGCTTGGAGGCCTCCTCGACCAAGTTGGTCATCCATGGGTCGTCCTCCCCCATCCTCTTTTGGATCAACGTGCCGTGGATGAAGTCCTCTGCCTCCAGCTTCTCGGGACAGTTGTCCCCGCACAGGTGAACTCGCAGCCTCTGGCCACTGTGGCCGGTGGCCCACTTGAGCAAGGCCTCCTCTGTTGTGCCCTGCGCCCTGACTTCCAGCTCCACATCCTTGGGCATTCTGATGGAGAGGTTCTCCACCAGTCCAGACACCATGCATCGAGCGCCCCAATAGATGCCCTCGACGCTGATTGGCAGACCTCGACGAAGTACTTCTAGTGGTATCTCCTCGCATTTCACCTTTTCACCTCTTCCAAAGCTCACTCCCTTTGCGGCAAGGCGCAACACCTCTCCTTCTAACTCTGCTCCTTCTTCTGCTCGGCCTGCTTCTCTAGCAGCTGGCCTTCTCCTCAACGCTCCTCCCCGACACCTGCTGCAGCTGGTCGACGCCTTGGGGGCATCTCCTACTGTAGCCTTCAGAGCTCGTCTTCTTGAGCTCGATACCAATGCCTCTCACGCTTCTTTGCACCCTTGTTCTCACCGTAGTACTTGGGTTGCAACTTCCACGCTGCAGGCTTTCCGTCCCAACGCTTGACCGCTGGCCTGATGATAGGCGGGGTCTTTGAAGGCGGGTGATGTCTCCCCGGAGGTGACTGAGATGGAGTGTGCGGTGGTCGAACCGAAGGCCTAGCCCTCAAGTCTGCTGGTACAGCCTCTCGAATCCTCGGCACTGGCTCACTCGCCTCTTCCTTTCTGGAGCTCCTCCTAGGCCTTCTTCGGCTTCTTGATCGGGTCTTACTGGCTCGCTTCCTCTCCCTTCTGCCTCTGCTCCGTGTCCTGCTCCTCCTTCGTGAAGGTGGGTCTGGATCTCGACGATGTCCTTTCGATGAGCTTGTATGCTTGCCTTCCTCTTCAACCTCAGCTGGACTCCTCTCCCTTTGGTCAGGTGACCTTGTCTCTTCCTCTTCGCGCTTGGGCGCTACCCACGACTTGTCTTGTCGTTCTTCAACTTCTTCTCCTTCTGTTCTCCCCGGAGCAGGAGATGTAGTCGAGGCCGGACTCTTTGCCTTGGGAGCTGTTGTCTTGCCTGCCTCCTCCTGCAAGCGACGGTGCTCCTGGTGCTTGTCGGCCTCCTCCTGTAGGATGCTGGTCCAGATTCTGAGGCTAGTCAAAGCCCAACCACGGAGGGACACTGGGAGCTCGTCCAAGATGAACCAAAAGCGATTCCTCGTGCGACAGAAGGCGCACAAGACCTCTTGCTCCCCGCACAGGAGCCCACAATCCCTGCAGACCATAGGCTGTGAGCCAAACTCTATGGCGAAAAGCGAATCGAACACGGTCGTCTTAATTTCCGGGGGCGTCACTTCATATATATCACTGAGACTAAGCAGTGGGTCAGATCTGCAAGGGTTGGATCGCACATGGTTTTTTACAGAAAAAAAACATAAAAAATATATTTAAAAAAAAAAGAAAAACACAGAAAAACACAAAAAAAACAGAAACAAATAGAAAAACTAGGTTTTTCTATTTTCAGCAGCCCATTGACGCACAATTGATCATGTGTGACAACAACAATTTGTTCTTTTTTGAACACACTTGCCACAAGCAAGCAAGCGTCTGAGACCACAACAGTCTGCAGAATCTCAGACTGTTCCTGTCAGACAACGCTCACCACGAGAGTGTTTTTGCATATATTTCTATGTTTTTTTTTTTTTTTTTGTTTTATTTATTTTTATTTTTTTTCAGATTTTTGCAGAAAATTTCAGATTTTTTCATGTTTTCATGTTTTTTCATATTTTTTCATTTTTAAGATGTTTAAAGATGATTTGAGATATTTTGAGATATTTTAAGATGTTGCTCCTGGAAAATTATGTTGTAATTCCGAAACCCTTTACCACGAACCCCGGCTTGTGAGATGATTTGAGATATTTTGAGATTTTTTAAGATTTTTTAAGATTTTAAAGATTTAAAAAGATTGTTTTTTGCTTTAAAATGATTTAAAATGATTTTTTTTGATATTTATTTCATTTTTTATATGTATTACATTTTTGTTATATTTAGTTCATATTTTTTATATTTATTTCATGTTTTTTATATTTATTTCATTTTTTTAATTTTATTTATTTATTTTCATTGAAAAAACCATTGCTGATCTAGACCACTTGCAATCTGACCCACTGCTTAGTCTCAGTGAATATATAAAGACTGTTTCTTGTGGTGTTTAATCTTTGAGAATTCGCCTGATGGCTTTAAAAAGAGCAACACATGCAAAGCAGTTGAGCAACTTGAACGCGTCCTTCTTTGGCTGTGCAAACGAGGTTATTCCAAATTGCTACAGTTCCGCGCGGTGTTTCCACTTTGCCGCATTCTGTTCACAGACATCAAGCCAGGAGCCCAGTCCGAAGGATGAAACAAAAACAACTTTTCAAGTTCACTAAGTAACTACTATTTGTAGCTTCTTGTTACTAGTACCAAAAGGAACCTAATAGGAATGGCCTCCCTAATAGCGTCCTTGCTTTCCCAAAAAGTATTCTGATGTCAGAAAACGTTCTATCTCATATCCCGGAATCAACCATTGAATCCTGGGAATTCCCGCAGGCACTAAATAATGACCATAAAGATCATAAAGGCCATTGTGAATACACATCAGTTTTGCATACTTTTGCCTGAGGGCAGCTCAGGCCAAAACCAGCAGGGGAGCAGTCACAAGCATAGCATTGCAAACCAATGAAAGCAAATCGCAAAACCTGTGTGGGATGAGACTATGTGGAGAGGTGTGCCGAAGGCCAAAACCTTCTTAACAGCTTCAAGTGGTGCTTCTGACACACCAACTCTCGTACAGTAACTGGGCATCGATTTCATAAAGTCAGGTGGTGCTGCGTTGAATATCAAAATGCGAAAGAGCTAAAACAACCAAGGCTTCAAGAAGAGCAAACGTCACTGGAACAAGCAAGCAAACGACAAGCTGAGGAATGCAAGTGTATGCAGCACGGAGCACACAAAAACTGGCAGCAGGGAAGAGTAGAGTCAAGCCAACTCTTGTCAATACAGCGACTGATTCTTGAAATTGACCGACGGTGTTCCAGTTGAGAAGCAGACTATACTCCAGGCAACAAGCCAGGAGGAAACAAGCACGGGGAACAGGTATCTGCAAACAAAGAATGCATAAGCTTTATCCGGCCGGCGTTTAGCAACCTCGAAATGATCTGAAAAAGCAATGACATGGTAGGAAAATCAGCACAGGGATGGGTATAGGCCACATCCTGAAAGCAATGACTTGATGTCTGTGTTGGCTTTTGGATCGATCCACAGGGGAAAGGCCACACAGAAATTGTGAGTTGCTAGATGCTACAGTTTGGAATAGCCTCATTTGCGCAGCTGAGGAACAGCACATTCAGGCTGCTCAACTACTTTGCAACTGTTGCTGTTTCTTTTTTTCGCAACGTCCAGCGGCATCCTGCCTCCAGCCACCGAGCGAAAGATGACAAAAGACCGCCTCAAACTGCCCTGTGTGTCAGTTGACTATGTTAACTCAGTGTGGCACTGTGTAGTCATCGGCCTGCTTGTTCTGCTGCAATTCATATTCCTTGGGGCCCAAAAGCAGACTGAGACTGCACGGGAACGTCCACTTTTTTCCGCATTTCCGTTGTGGTGCCTCGACACAAACCAATTACTGTAGGGCTATTCCCAGCATAAGCGTGAAAGAAACCTAAAAGGCACGAAGCAACCAGAAGGCACTGAATCGACAGGGGGTCTTCCGAGCCCCCAAGCACGAAATACCAAGCGAACACTGAGAAACACTTCTCTTCGGGAAGAGAAATGTAGGTCTTTACCATCATTGCAAGTAACGAGAATAACATATGTTTTGAAGTCCAATTGGTCCAGGGTACAAACAGAACATGCTCAAAACATAGCACTTGTGCAAAATGACTTACAAACGTAAAAGCATCCTCACACCAGAGCCTAGCAAGCAGCTCCAGGCAGGGGTAACCAAAAAAAACAAAAATCCTGCATCCCATTCAAAAGCTATACAGGCACTGGCACAAACACACGTCTAGAGTCTACCTCCTTCAAGGACTCCGCGCACATGGCACTAAGTCTGCTACAGTTCCTTTCATTCGTAACCATCTACTGTCCAGCTAAGGAGCATTCATACCTGTAATTGAGACCTCAGCAACTCGGCACCAAGCAATTTGCAGATTTTCTTTTCAACAACTTTATGCCAAGTCACATGGGACCAGGTCTTCTCTGTTGGGTAGTGACTGATCCAGCTTGAACAAAGATCCTCAGGTGGCCAGCATTGAGATCAACAGCATCCTGTGTTCTTCCAAACCACAACCCTAATTGCTGGAAAGGTTCCAGTATCCTTGCCTTGGCGAAGGATTGTTCTTGCTGTCATTTGACAAGAATCAAGCTGAAGGAAAAAGCTCTCTCACATTGACAACAGTGCATGCTGATTTCCAGAAGCATACGACCAGTGTGACTGTTGCGAACAGGGTCGCATTGGGATATGTTGGGAACACCTTGCCATAGTGCTTGTTCAGCGTAGCAATAAAGTTGTCCTGGGGCGCAAATCTGTCTCAGCAGTCTGGAAAACCAGGACAGTTGTGAATGAAATGTCTTGGCATACCTTGGATGTAATTACTGCGAATTGTGTGGCTTTTCAGTGGCAGCAGTAGCATTCCGCATTCTGCCGAGCGGCATCCACATGGGTACAAATCCGTGGATGTGTGTAAAACCCTGTGTCGGTGCTTTCGTCTTGTCGCGCAAAGTCTGCCTCGATCCGAGCCGTCGTTCGAGATCTAATTGAGACTGATGTCATGCTTTGCAAAGACATATTTACCTTTTTTGACTGCAAGGTCGCCAGTTCACGACTGAGCCTCCTTTCTACACGCTAAAATGCAACACCACACAGCTATGGTCACAGTCACATCAACATCTATGTCGTACCGATACAGTGCTAGATTGATCTGGTTTATCGCATCCGGGCAATGAGACACAAATCAACTTTGGGGCCACGCCTCTGTGTAGGGCCACTCCTCTGGCCAACGCACCTGCAGCTTTGCAGGGCAGTGCATCAATGAATATCGATGTATGTCATCATAGAGTGTCGGAGGGTACATGATGTAGACTGTTGATTACACCCCCCATATGGGCCCCATATGGATATGCAAAACCAGCTCTGCTGGTGACTTACTTGCTATCATTCCAGGCTCTGTCGCATCATGCAACACTACTTCTTGAGCTAGCAGCTAGACTGTCCTGATGCGTTCTTTACAAAAGGAAAGATGCAAACAAAGTCTTTCAGACTCGGAAACAAGAGGTCACGAGTTCAAGATCGATCCGTCTTGGTATGTCTTGGTGAAGAATACTCTCGACCCTCTGAAGCGCGGATTTCATCGCTTGACCCAGAATGGCCTCTCGCATGGTCTGGGCTGCGTCCCCAGAAACAAAGCTTCCGGGCCATCCACCCTGAACATGACCACTGTCAAAAGAAGCAAAGAGATGAAAAAGGGAAGGTACAGGTGCCCTTACCTTCTTTTGTTCATCTCTGTTTTCTTCTTTAGGACTTCTTTTGGGACAAGCAGTTTCCAGATAAAGCATAGTGGCCAACATATTGAACGCAACACAACGAAGACGGAGCCTGGCGCAGTTGTCCATCTTTCAGCAAAGTACATGTCTACTCGCAGTGGACTACGTGAGCAAATATACAAATACAATCAAATATTCGTTCCTGCCCATGAAACAACGCACGAAAGCAGTAAGCAGCCCCAGGAAATGAACAGAAACGGCTCTTTTGAATTACAGTATGTGTGTCTCATTGCTAGCCCCACACAAGCTGCCTTAGCACGCACCTGGGTGGCAGCGCTTGACCTGAAAGTGTCTCTCGAAGAGCTCAATCGCAGTGGCAAGACAGCATCTCCATACGATGACAAACCATGAAGATTGGCCATGACAAATTATATTATACAGTATAAATGTGTTCAACCTGCAGCTCGAAAATGCCTCCTTCGTCCGAAGCCCAAAATGCCACTCAAAAAAGCCATGCCTCCAGGAAACCGTAAGTTCAGGCTTTGCACACAAAAGACTTAGACACAAACAAAACGGTCACATCCACACCTGAGAGCGTCTGGCCATGCGAAAGTCTCCCTTGCTTTCTTCCTTCGTTCGCCCACGGCGACGATGCCCGGATGGGCGACCTGGAGAATCCGAATCCGATGCCGTCCACCGATCGGGCGACCCGGTCGAACGTGGCCGTCTACTCTGCCTCAAAACATCAGAGGGGACAGGAATCACAGCGACGGCGGTCAGGGCCATTTTTGGGCCCCTCGGGCGCTTGAAGAAAGCAGCTGCGGTGGCTGCAGCAAATGCTTTAAACGTCGGAGAAAAAATATTTGACTTGGATCTGCTAATAATATATGCTATATAATGCTCAGAAGGCCTTCCCACAATCCGTAAAACACCGTAAAACTATGTAAAACCATACGTTATCATGCGGTGTCATAGTAGTTTCATGCTTTCCAGTGCGTTCGTATCTTTTCCATGTCCTATCCATTCCTGTCCGATTCCGATGCGACCCGAGCTCCAGGCATTCAGATCTAAAAGCTGCGACCTGCCAGGCAGATGCTTCGGGTGAAAACTGCCGACGGTATCTGAGTTTGTTAGATCATGAAAACAAATCAACAAATATCAACAATATCTTGATCCCACCATCGCACGTCTCCTCAAAAGCATCCGGTCGACAGGAACACTGGATGATCAGCTTAAGGTTGGCTTTACTTGAAGATTGAAGTTTAAACGAAACTGGCATTAATTTGGCAGTGCTTCAAGACTTGCCAGGTGATAATTCAACTACTCCGTGTGGAGTACCCGAAAGGTGCCTCAAGTGACGCAAAGTAACTGCCAATTCTTGTTTCCTGCCAGATTCAGCTGCGCGAGCTACACCTCTAAGAAATTCATCGGGATGAGCATTCAATGAATGCTGCCCAACCTTACCACAAGAGAGGGTACAAGTCATCCAACTCCTTTGACCTGTCGGCTGTGACACTGTCAGCCTCAAAAGGGAGCACATCAATACTTCAAAGACTCCAAGCTATCTTCAAAGACTGTTCAGCAGGAGTCCTCCAATCAATGGATCGCTCAGCCTCAGCCAACCTGTCATGGTTTTTGCATGTACTTATTGTCTTTCAAAAGCCTGATCTTGCAAGAATATTCCAGGACCATGTCAGGACCTGGCCAGGACTACATCCATTCCTCAGCACTTGTAGTCGTCCCACAAGACAGTTGCTATGAACATTCCACAACGAGGCCCGAGCCTGGAAAGGCCTGGGCTGCGACCCTGCCTTTTGATTGTGAGGCCTTTTTGTACAAGATCATAGAAGCTTTATGCAGAGCTCACCCACTTGTGTCACCCGTGGTTGCCCCCCCAAACATGCGTGTCCACGATTGCTCGCAAGCTCTCATCAGCTCATCCGTGGGAGCACTCGGTGGCTCTGGCCTAAGGCACTCGGTGATCTCTGAAATCGAGACAAAAATCCCGAGATTCACGGAAAGTCGGATGTGTTGAAGAACCGAAAAATGGTCACGGAGTTGGCAAGTATGTTTATACTTCATGTTGAAATGGTCTTCCATGTTTCACGATTTCGGAACATTGGAATTGGTTAATTGATGTTGAGTACGTGCAAAATGCTTACTCGTTCTTAAACATCGATAGCCTGTCAGAAGGGTGGTGAAGGTGCCTCCACTGGTCCAGCAATGTCGAGGGTTGGTCCACTTATGCTATTTCTCTATGATCTCTGTGAACGCGTAAGGAAAAAAATGAGAATCGCTCACCCAGCGACGAAGCCGGAGCAGCAGGTGGAGCAGCCGGAGCTGTGGGCACTGGCGTGGACGCCGGTGTAGCCACAAGCCGTGCCTGGATGGATGAGTTTGATGGAATTCAGACAGACCACGCTATAGCAAGGAGACTGTTCTTCTTCAGGGCCCAATGGGCAGAAGAAGGCACCTTCTGCCTGCAATCCTTCACCACTTGGAATGGACTGCCCAAAGTCACAAGATCCATCCGTAAGTTCATTACTAGTACACCAAATTCACAAATTCCACATGGTTTGCCGGGTTTGGCTTTGGGGACCTTCGGTTCGCCCCATGGCCGTTGTTTTCCTCGCTTCGGTTTCCGTCCCATCCCGCACCGGTGGAGCTGGCACGTTGTACACCACGGAAGGACGAAAAGTCCTACAACCTGAGCAGGACGCAACACGCTGATTTTCTTAGCTCAAGGTCGCCTCCCTTAATTAGGTAAGGGAAGACTAGTTAGCTACCAGCAAGCTCCCAGCTAGGGCACTCGCACTAATGACTGATTTAGTTCCTTGATTTTTAGAGAAACTTAACTGGGAGCAACAGGACAAAACGCCACAGCAACAACACGTCGGCAAGCTCAGGCGCTCACTGCCCATTTGGCTGGGAACTGGGCCACAAACTGGCACCGAAGCACGGAACAGTTGCGGGAAGCTTCCAGTTGTGGCAACACATGCATGAAGAATGTCTGAGTCAGCATGATTGATTGATCACGGCAGATTGGAAGAGCACCTTGAGAAGTCAATCAGATGTTGCGGCTCCGAATCGACTCAAACAAACATGTAATGTAGGGCCAGGCTACATACTACATACATCAGGGGCACATCAAATACGTGCTACAATACAAAACATACCCCGGTGACGGCTATTCCAGAAATCTCCAGAAAGCTATTCTTTTCCTCACAAAGATCAACAGCAGATTCGTCACTATCAAGGGCAGTTGCTTGACTGTACCCTTTGTATGCCTTCGTTTTCTGCCAAGGTCTATCTTGGATCAATGATCAATGTGGCTCGAGTCTCCCTGCCTGGACTGCTGGAAACAACAAAGCCCGGATTGGAGGGCCTCTCATCAATGCACGGTCGCAAGCCAAGCCATTTTATCATGAGAAATGCAATTTCTAGCGTGTCTGGGTGTCAAAAAATTGCAAAACCATGCAAAACATCTTAGATTGAGATTCTTTTGTGCTATCGGATCCAAGCACAGCCAGAACGCGATGATATTAATATTATTGGATTATTTATATAGGTACAATAAGTCTGGCAGTGAATATCAGGGACTAAAGCGCTATGGGTATATGGCTCAAAATGCCCTCCAAACATCTCCAAACCCACTGGTAAGAGGTAAAAGACAAACCTCTGGATACCTGGGTCTTGGGTGTTTGAGCTGCAGTCAAAAAAAATAAAGCCTGCGGCCCTGCGCTCTTCCCCACCAAGGCACATGGTCACCACATGCCGGGTCCTCAGTCAGGATCCCGACCAAAACACCAATTCAGTCGTTGAGAAAAACACCAAATGAATGGCATGAATGGGAAAGTAAACATCGCATTCTCAACAGATGGGGCATGGCCATCGTAACACTGGAATGCTAAGAACAAAGAACCCGCTCAAGCCCAAGAATCTGCACACGTGGTGTACTTGGCAAACTCGGTGGCTCCCTCAGCAGGCCGACAATCCCAAAAAGGAACTCAAAAACAAACAAAACTCGCTGAATCTTGTCTTGCTGAGACAGAAACCTGGAACATGGAATGAACTGGAGTTGCATGGATGTGCTCGACACGAACTGAACTGATCCAACCCACTGAAACCATTCGAGTCGAGTTGCGTTGCTTCGGAGGCCCGATCCCGAGGGCTCTGACCCAGGATCCTGGACGGCCAGGACGGCCAGGACGGCTGGGACGCGTCTTCCGGAGCAGATCATCGTTGGAAGGTGAAAACTGCTGTTCATGCGAACATCATCAACCATAATGAACACCCTTTTCTTTATAATTCTTCATTACTTAAGTTGACGTTGGGTGTCCCACAGGTGGGGATTGATATCTGACGGAACAGCAAACTCCTGTGGCAAAGTGCGCAAAGTGCAGACTTGGTAGAAGTTATTGCAGAGTTCTTGCTAGAATTCACAAAGACTCCCACTGACAAACAAAAAAAGTTTAATATGCAAATGTGCAGCGAACGCCCCACAGAATAGGACCCAAGAGTATTGTGGGGGGCGTAGATATCTCCGTATTGACAGGTTTAAGTCACAGGCTAAGTAGAGCCTAGGTAACATCGAGTTCTACCCTTTTCTGCGTCTTGTCTTTAAAGACCCCCAACATAAACCTTTAATGACGACTACTCTTGACCTTTGCTGTGCTCAGATCGCCAGGGAGAAAGCTGTAGGACTGCGGATGGAAGAAAGCTATTGGGTCCGTCCCATCCGCTGGTCTCTTCGCAGCACCTGTTGGACATCGGCGACCTCCTTTCCAACTGCGGAGCTCGGGGTGAAGGTACCAAGCCTCACAAGTGTCACCAGGACCCGTACTACCAGAGATCACTCGTTTGGAGAGTACCCAAACGCAGAAAAAGAATGAAATGGATGAGAAAAAATGCATACTGGTGTCAATATCTGGGCTTCGGGCTGTTACATGCGGACGCACTTTGTTCGGAGGCCTGTGGCATCCGAAATTAATTCCGAGCCACAACATCCAAGATATGCGCTCCATTGGGAAACTTATCGGCAAACTATGATTCAGCAGGCATGCACGCTTGTTCTGTCCATTCTATTTGCTTCGTTTTCTAGCTGCTGTGGAAATGCTCCCTGTCCAGTGTCCCAAATACTCTCTTCATGTCGCTTTGATCCAATCGATTCCCAGGATTCCATGCCGGCTTCATTTGCGCCTGACACTGAGGATTGGCACAGAGACAAGAAAATGGGATCAATTCATTATGTGGCATACATGGGTGTGTATTAGAATAGGGAGACACCATGAGACACCCGCATCAACGGGTTTCATACAAGTTTGCCGCAGTGGGTCTTTGGGAGGTCCCCCTCTTCTAGTACACACCCACATCAAGTTATATATTTGTCTTGCCAATTCCACACAACCAGTAACTCGTGACAATTGCAAAGACTCATCCATGGAGCTGTGAAGTCTCGAGTTCCCTTGGCAGCGAAACCCAAGGTTTCGAGTTTCCACGAGCCTCCACCAAACTCATCGGGAGGGGTGGGGTCTCCCTGGCCACGTCAGGTCGGTTATGACAGTCAGTGAATTGGTTCCAACGACCCAATTTCAACGATCCACCTGGCAAGAGGATGGGTCTTGCTGCCTGCGCGAGAGCAACGTTTGCGCATGTTTCCGGCGAGGCCCGACCGAGCAGATTTGACACTTCGGATTTGGTTCGTCTAAGACTGCCTTGGTTTTCACGTTGTCTTCGGCAAAGCAAATCGATCTCGAAAAAGAATAGGTTCCGCGCATACTACGTAGATACTTCTCCTTTCACCTCATATCTTCCCAATGCTGGTCTCTCATTGGCCTGGCGAAGGTGGCGCTGAACTTGTTTCCTCCAGATCAGCGCTCCCGCTTCCTGAAAACACTTGGCCAAGGATTGAGGAAATGTGAAGGTGTTATTCATGTTTGGCCAATTTCTTCTGAATCTTCAGAAGTGTAGGTGTCAATCTTGCGACTTGACTCGATTGCTTTCCTGCCCTTTGCCCACAACTCGATTGCCTCTCTCATCCTCGAAGAAAGGCGGGCCTCCAGTGCCCGCCTCATCGCGATTAGAAGACCAGTTCGAAATGCAAGTCCAAGCTGAAGCAAGACCCAGTTTGGAGGAAGAAGCCTTTTTCGGAAAGTGTTGAAAGAAACTCAGAAGAATCCTAGGCAATCTAGGAGCAAAAACCACCTGAATATGCGAGTGGCCGATTATTCTGAGGAGCAAATACCTGAGTATCCAACTTCAGCCATGGGCCAAAAGCTTGGCAAGGCTGGGGATGTAGATCTACTCCCTGCAATCTTGGCAACCAGAAACCTCTGGAAAGATGACCTCTCCATTTCTGTCTGTTGTGTCTTTCTGTCTGGTTCATCTGTTTCACCTTTTAAGTCACTGCGAGGGTGACAACTGGTGTTTTCTTTTGAAAAGGTGCGTTTCCTCTTGATCCCGCGAGCCATACCGGGAACCCGGTATGGACCAAGGATGACAAATCTCTTGGATGACGCACTTGTTGAGCACGCCTCCGAGAGTGTTTTCTAACACAGCACTAGCGTTTAGCTGACCACCTCCCCGCAGCCGAGCCTGCCGTCACCTACCAGACTTGAAAAGAGCAGCATGTGTTTGCCATGTCCATTCCTCGCTCAACTTGCAGCAACATGTTTTTTTTGACTTTTAACTAGCAGCATCATTGCCAGGACCCAGGCATAACATTGGCAAAAAAGAAAGTAACAGGATTCACAAGCACCAAGGTGCTGAGATGCTGAGGGGCCTCTAAACTGGCTTGAGATGCGGATTTGGGAGACCAGGTTCCTCCCGGAGCTTCGGAGCTTCTGCTCAAAGTTGGATGCTTCTGAACAAGTTACCATGAGACTGTGATTCTTGAGGTCGATCTTGAACAGAGCGCGTATCGCATCGATGCAAAGGCTGTTTTATTTGTGACTCAAATTCAACACCGGTGAAGAAGGACGCCATGCACCAGCCAAGTCTATATTGAATCAAATCTGTAATTAAGGGATACAGTGCTCTCTGCTACAACTGAAATTGAGTGACTCTCCCTTGGCCGTTGCACAGTCCTGACAAGCTTCCTGCAAACGGCACCACGCCCTGCAACAACGATCCGCTCCACTCTTTGGGCGACTTCGCGAAATGCGCTACTTTGATCTTGGTGGGGCAAGCTCAAATGATGAAAATGATGCTACGTACTTTGTGCCATGGAATCACTTACATCCGTCGCTTTTCTGCCGATGTTGGCAGATGCTCGTGTGGCCGCGTTGCTGTTTCTCATGAGACACTCAAAGCTGTGCGTGCTGAGCGTGCTGTGAGTCACTGATCGCTGCCACAGTGAAATCATGCAAAAGGCAAGTGTTGGCTGGATTGCAAGGAAGACATCGCAGCATGTATGGCTGTGTCTTCTTCACCTGTTGCTTCATCGAGTCTTCTCGAGTTCCGGACTGGAAGTTGTGGTGGATCCCAGCTGCAGGGCACCTGATCATTCCACTTCGCAGGAAAAAAGGCTGCTTTGGTGTTACGCAACTTGGAAGAGTCACCTGAGTTGAGGAACCTCCTTGATTTCACCTACAGAGTCTGGCTCGCCTGATGCCGGATCCTCTCCAACACCGCATGGCCTGACATCTCTAGCGCCTGGCAATAGCCATGAGTTTGGCGGCTTGGCGCATTGGACAAGTGCAATTCTGAGATGCTGTAAACTGGACAGTGCTGGACAGTCTCTCAAACAATCAGGATTACACACTTTTTCACCAAGTGAATCGCGGGGCAAAAAGCGACCGACCGGTCGCCTGCTCCCAAGAAGTGCGATAATGCTCCATCATTGCCTCAAACAGACAGTGCATAGGCGGCATTGGTTAGTCATCCGATCACTGGGTTTGAGTCTTTTCTTGAGAAACGTGATATCTGCGTACAAAACCTTCTACAGTATCTATTCCAATTCCTTCTATTCTGAATCTGCAGAAGTAAAGGAAAGGAAATGAGAACATTACAATGAACATTGTTCGTATCAAGTTACTACACGCCAGGACTAATCTGGGGGACCAGTGCCTGTTGCTAAAGCAAAGCTGGCAGCGCAAAAGTCTACTTTTTCAAGGGACTGGAAAGAGCTTTGAAAACTCTCGCAGGCCATCAGGCATCTCAAGGATATGTGGTTCAAATTCCTGGCAGAGCGTCTCAAAGTCTCTGACTCCTTGCCTTTCTGTGAAGATATCAAGTTCTGCACTTCTCGCGTTTGAAACAGCAGCAGGCTCCTCAAACACTGCATACACAAATCCCGTCCCCTTGCCTCATAATCCTCTTGACCAACCAGACCTTCTTCGGGTAAATCTTTCGAGCTCAAACCATGCGCCTTCCAGAATTTCGCCTGCGCGGAGAATTGGGGATTGAGATTGAGATGCCATGGATGCGCTACTAGTAGCTAGAAGCTATTGGGGTTGGAGGCCATCGCAAGTAGGTTGGAGGCCATCGCTATTAGGGTGGAGGCCGTTACTACTAGTAGCAAGAAGCTACTAGTAACAAGGGGTTTAAGCTGAAAGCCCACACACCACATCACGCCGCTTCACGCCGCAATTGACGGAGTGTTTGCAATCGACGGCCTGCTTTCGTATGTGATCTGCACCCGCATAGACGACGACCACCACTCGGGAGGAAGGAGTTCGCAGGATTGCCTCTGCCGTCAACAAGGCAAGAGCTACATCCACGATGCCTGAGGCCACGATGCAAAGGCCACTTGTTGGAGCATGTTGGAGCTGCATGTGCCCTTCTTAGGCCCAAAAAGCCATGTCAACAAAAACCGGAGCCTTAAAAGGCAGGTAATTCTCCAGCCAATGTGTTCAGCATGCCGTTGTTGCGACAAAAAAATGCTACAGTAGTGAGTCTAAGTCTAAGTCTAATCACAATAATTCGCGACTGATTAGTCAATTCAGAGCCAAGGAGCAAAGCATGTAAACATCAACCAGGATTTTAGCGATGACCCGCTCTCTTTTGGTAATGATTCGTGAGTCGGGATCAAAGTTCATCAACTCCTTGAAGGCATCATGGACATTTGGGATACAGATCTCACTCAACCTGAGCAGCAAAAGGGTGGCCCCAGAATGTCCATGATGCAGGCAGCTCGTGTGGACTGTTTGATGCGTCTGCCAAACTCCAAGATTCCTCAATCTGACATCTGCAAAATCCAAGATTCATTAGACCACTAGACCACCAGAAAGTTTACTTCCAAGTGGTTCTGACCAAGGAACTTGTGCTTGCGCTGCGGTTTGCTTTCGCTGGCGACCCAACTTTTCTTCACCAGCTCGGCAGGATCGCTCGTGTCTATATCCTGGAGCACCCGGGATGACCCACCCATGTGTTCGTCTATAGTGACATCTTAAACCACGTGTGCAGCAAAGAGCTATTGACTGACTGGAACGATATGTCCTCCACATTCCAAACCAAACTCATAATACCCGTTTGTTCTTGCTGAATTTCTCAGCCTTCCCACATCTGCAGGCAATGTGTGTTTCACAAATGCACTTTGGTCTTCTCCCATCGTTTGTGCTCCTCGTAAATGTGAGGATGGCATTCTCTTAGCCATGCCTGAAGCGGCTCGAAACCGCTGTTAACTCTTCAATGCTGAGACAGTTATATTATGTTGGCCAGAAATATTGGCCAGACACCCAGCATCAGCCCGAGAGTTGTCTTCTTCAGCGAAGCAAGTAGCAAAGGACACGTCCAAGAACACGTCCTGAAAACCCTTGTTTTGCGGACTTTGGCACGCCATTGCTCCAATCAAACATGTCTTGAGGGCATCACGCTGCAAAAAGCTGGAACTTCCATTAACTTCCAAGCACTTGAAGCTAGCGTCCAACCGATTGATGATGATGATGATGATGATGATGATGATGACGATGATGATGATGATGATGTGCTTCCCTTGCGCGAAGCACAATAGCA